AATCAGAGTTCAGCACCAGCAGGTGAGCCGTCAGAGTAACTTCTCCAAGGCCACATAGAGAGTCCCAGGTATACACGAAGAACCAACCAACTACAAGTGCATCTTTTCATGGTTGGAGAAAGCCTGGCTCAGTCATTTCCAGGATACTGACTGTTGCACCATGGCATGAAAAGTGCACTGTGCACATTTGAATATTGACCAATGCATCTGGAATTTGGCACTGTTTAGCATTTGCAGTAAGACAGGACTCCCACATGCCATGCCATCACTCTCAACCACGTGCCCCGGAGTTCACCAGTGGGTATTTTGCACATCAGCTCCACGCCAAAGCAGTCTGCCTGGCTCTCGCAGCCACACAGGATGGGGAAGTGATGGGAGACCTGTGGGAAACCTCCCCAGGGCCACTCCGCTGCTCCTGCTTGAGAGATAAAGTGGTGCTCAGGATCCTCAGCTGACAGTGATCACAGAGTATTTTATAAACACACAGGGAAGGAGTGGACAGTTAATGTATTATCCAGCAGCCCTTTCATGATTTTCTGCAAAAGTAGCTTTAATCTTGGCCTGTGAAATGAATGTAAAAGCTTGTTAATTGTTAACTTGCTTTTTAATTTGCAAGTCTGAAGCATTTAGTAATGGTTGGCTTTTACCTTGGAAACAACCACTGAAGACACTCAGAGCTTAAAAAATGGAGCTATTGCTAAAAGCCACAGAAACAATTAATTGAATAAACCAAAACATCTTTACTAATCTCTTAGAAGAAGGGATACCAGTCAGTCTGTATCTCCTTCACTGAGTAAAATGTTGTATCAGATCACTGAAGTGAAAAAGAATGTACTGCACCTACATATTAAGAGATGTGACAGCAACATGAGCTGTTACAAAATTCACCAAATGAGAACAGTACAAAAAAGGAAGCAAATATCAGACTAACCTGCAGGCTACAGATACAAAACATGGGGTACTGAAGACATTAACAAAGCAAGGTTTTTGCAAATAAAGGTTTCACAAAGCGGTCACCTGTTTAGGACCGTACTACAAACTGTCAGTGATTATGTACTTATTCATTTCATGTTTTCCCAAGATGCCACATTGTGTTTTGACTCTTTTTACACTGCTAAATTTATAAAAGCTCAAGCCAAGGATCAAGTATTTCTTCATGTGACCCCCAGTGTGGGCAGCAGGGGAAATCCAGATCCTGGGGAGATCAGTAAGGGGTTTTTCTCTTGACATTACAAAGGTCAGACTTTTGCCTTGGGTATTCACAAACAAAAGATACCCTGCAGAAAGATCAAGGGCAACAAAGAGAGGTGGAACGGTTGTTCCTAGCTGCAGTGTGTTGTTATAGGAAGCAAGTTAAAATGTAATGAATTCCATAATGTAAGTCATTTCGGGGGGGGGAAGTCTGCTACCTGCCTGCAACCTATTATTAAGAAATCAGGGAAGCAAGTGGCGTTTCCTAGCACTGTAGACAAACACTAAACATGCCACTTAAAATGCCAGCTTCTTTCAAAGCTGCCTATATATCACTCACATAAGCAAGCTCACTGCTGTTAATGAGTGACTCATGGATGTTTATTGTACAGAAAGAACACAAAGTTGTGCAAGTGAAATAATCTGAAAACATACATCACTTTTCTACTGCATTGCACTGGCTAATACGGATTTACTTCACAGAGGCGCAATTTTGAATTTAGACGAGACTTGTGAGTGTGATGTAAAATTCTCACTTGGACTTTCCTCAAACATTATTAGGGAAATACAAGCAGGATTTTCTAATGAAAAATGCCTATGTATATAGTTGATATTGCTTTTTTGGAGCATCAAAGGCTGCATTATTTTTGGAAAAGTGATACTTTGGCCAATAACCAAACATCAGTGAATCATTCACTTCGAAGCCCTTCTTATGTGTGCACAAATGCTGACATTCTGGCAGACTCAGAACAGCCACAATCACTCCACGTTAAAATATTGGGAAGTGATAGTCTTTCCTGTCTTCTGCTATTCTGATACCTAGAATATTTTGATTAGTGCTCCTTCAAAAAGCCAAAGGCAAAGACTGAGCAAGCATGTTCAGCATCAGTTGTGAATGACCGGAGTCTGCAGCTTGTGAAAAGTATTACAGCTCCTGAAAGACTAAAGATAGAAGATTTACTGAGGTTAGGGGCAAAACAACAGAAAGGAGCTTGTGATGGTATTCTGTAATCCTGTAGGACAAACCAAGTGCTTTTTGTGGTTATTTTTAGATATTTCCAACTGAAAAGCAAGATGAAGGGCTTTTTGTAAAAAAGCAATTTACTGAGAAGGTGGTAAAACATGCAAAATGAACAAAAAGCACAGGACACAACTTCATGGTGGTTATCAGCTTTCTGAAATTTTTTTTTCCCTACCTTTCAATAACTGTCAAGTTTTGAAATTCTGACCAAAACCAACCTCTGTGTTTTTGTCAACAAGACAATTTTTAAATAAACCTTGAAATGCACTGGATAATTTTAAGGTATTTTTAAAAAATGGCTGCAGTATGTAGTTGCACAGATCAGAGCTGAAATTTTTCAGTTTCCAACTGTGTATTCACTTTGATGTCATAATAAAATGTACAGTTCATAACTTGTCTGCAGCCAAATTCACAGATGTCACAAGAGAAGCAGGAAGGGGCACCAGACTTAAGGACGTCTGCCCAGGTCCCACTTCTGTTGCTGCTCTTGCCATTCCCCAGGCTCAGAAGTGGAAGAGGCACAGCAGAAATGCCAGGAATCAGTAGTGAGGAGTGAGAGCTCCTACACTACAGCTCACTGCTAGCAGCAAATGTGGGAAGGTAGTGTCTCAGCCCCATGGGGATGGGGGCCAGGATATGGATACATGTGCCTGGCATGTCACTACATAGGCTGTCACTCTAAAAGGTAATGTCCTTTCAAAGATATTCAACTGATAGTCACAAAGACCAAATCTAGTTAGTAGGGAAATGGGAAGCTCCATATTTTCTTAACAAACCAGCATATTAGGGTGTGTCAGTTGTAAATGTATCATATTGTATTCTAATTAGATAAAGAATAGAATGAGGTTATCAGTAAAACTCTTCCTTTCATACTTTTACTTGGTGTCCTGAGTTTCCCCTTCTTCCTGAATTCCCCACCTTCCTCAGACTGGGGTCTGTGATTGCTGTCTACTGTTACCCTGCTATCTCATTATACTGCAAGTCCTGTGTGATTTAGACTTGGAGTTAATAAGACTTGAAGAACCAATATGGTTCTGCAGGATCTCTAACCTTTTCTCCTCAATGCATTCTGGAGCAATTCTCTGTAGGAAGGAGTATCAGCTGGCTGCAACAAAAGCTGCAGCAGTTCACAGCCTGAGCCCAGAAGTAGGTGGCTGTGCTGAAAGTCACAAATAAAGGCCTCTTGCTGTTTTCAGTCATAATTCATGTTCTTTCCTAGAACCTAATGAAAATAATTTTTAACTTAAAAACCTCCTAAGGTTGTTTTATGAGATTCTGCAGCTGGCAGAAGAAAAAGATCACTTATCAGTGATCAGCACTTCTGGAAAGGCTAAGAGCACTGTTCATTGATAAGATAGTTTGAGAAGCTTTTTGATTATTTTCAAAACAAAAGCAATTAGAGTGGTATGAGTTTATAACCAGATACCGAAGCAATGTCTATACAGAGTGCCAAATCGGATGGATTTTTCTCACATCAGAAGGTTTTAGAAAATAGGAGAAATCTTTATTTCCTTTGCATGAACTACTGCAGCAACCAGTGCTTTTCAATATGCTTTTCAAAGCACGTGAGGCTTGTATTCACTAAAACAATGTGTGAGCCATCACACCCAAAAGGGTATGAGGTTGACCTTGCTTACACAGGACTGGCTAAGTAACACAGGAAGAAAAGGTATTTCCATGTACAGATACATGGTATCTCCTTATAAATACTTTGGGATGTGATACAAAAAAATATGCCTATACATCATGAAACTATTTTGATTTTGTGTTATTTCTCGAAATAGCTGGTGGGCAGAAAGAAGCTCTAATATCCAATATCTGGATAATGTAAAAATGCAAATGGATGAAGGAGCTGTAATTTACAATGGAAAACACAAGCAGCGCTGAAGTCTACGTGAGAAACTGATGGAAAACTAAAAACTAATTACAGTGTGAAGATTCGTAACAAGTTATAATGTGCTTTCAGTGTAGCTGTGCTTTCTTGCAACTAGGAAACGCCTCAATCTTTCAGTCCTTTTACACGTGAAGAGCTATGTAAATGGCAACGTGCCCTGAGAGGGTGGAGCTGAAGATCCTCCTGCATCAGGACATGCAGGGTTCTCTGCTGTGGCACTTGTGCCCAACTTGACTTTACGTCTTGACCTTTGGTGTTGTCGGAACAAACCAGCCTCCATTAATCCTACTCTTAAACTGTGTGTAAAGCAACACCCCTCCTAGTTGGCTCTCACTTCCTTTTTCCTCATGTCGTGAGGAAGATGAAAAATCCGGCTACCTACAGCTGATCTTGTGTCCCCGGAAACTGCCCTCTTCGTTTCCCAAGTCTCGGAGAACCACATTTCCGTTTGCCAGACACTTCCTCCTGTCACGTCCTGTGAACAATCTGGGGCTGAGTCCCTCCACCTCTGAAGTAACGCGAGTTAGAAGGGGACATGTTCGGGAATGTTGTCTCTTGCAAGGGCTGCCTACTCCGTTCCTACTTCAGCGGGATGGAGCGGCCGGATGGACACGTTTGGCGTCCCCCTCTATCAGATCAGATCAGAGCAGAGCAGATCAGAGCAGATCAGTTCAGTTCAGTTCAGTTCAGTTCAGTTCAGTTCAGTTCAGTTCAGTTCGGTTCGGTTCGGCTCGGCTCGGCTCGGCGTCAGCCACGCCACCCCCCTCGTCGCCAGCCCAAGGTAGCATCTTGCGAGGGTAGCTTAACAGGGAAGACACATTCCCCGCTGTCCTCCATACCGAACCCAGCGAGCGCCCCCAGCTCCCGGCCTGTGCAGACATGCGCGCACAGGCCACGCCCCGCGGGCTGCGCGGCTACCGCCTCCTCGGCGCCCGAGGGACTAACCAAGGCTGAGCGGCGGGGGCCGGGGCGGCCTCTCGCCATGAACCTACACCAGGTGCTGACGGGGGCCGTGAACCCCGGCGACTACTGCTTCTCGGTGGGCAGCTTGCACGACCAGCCCTTCACGGTGAGTTCCCTCTCAGGGACGCGGGCGCCGAAAGCGGCTGCGTCAGGCGCGGTGGCTGCAGCCGGCCCCAGTGGAGCGTGGCGACTCGGCTCCGGTACTGTCGCCGGGCGGTAGCGGCAGTGCCCGCCGCTGTGGGAGCGCTTCCCTGGGGCACATCTCCCCGGAGCTTGCTTGGGGCCGCGCACAACTTTGCTGAGCGCGGAGGTGCGGGCTGTGTTGCGCCGTGCGGGGCGGCCTTGCTGCCTGGGCAGCGGTGAGGGGCGCGGGCAGGGCCCGGCTGTGCCGTGCCGCTCGGAGGTGCTTGCGAACACGGGAACATGGTGGCTGTGATAAAAGATTACATAAACGCAGCCGGTACGGGCGGCTGCTGCTGCAGAGGGGAGTTTTAGGGCTCGCTTTTTGCAGGAGAAGTGACTGGTGTCCTGCCTGCGGCTAGCTGAAGGAGAGCTTGAAATACGTGTGTTACTTGGTGTTACGGGTTTAGAACCATTTCTGAACTCTCTGCTGATAGTTACGCTTAAGAGAGAAGCTCCGCAGTATTTAGTAAGGCTAAAACCTTTTATTAGTGTTTGGTTTTCTCCCTTTCACTCTTGTTTTGTAAACAGACTTCTTCTGTGTTTTTCTTCCCATCCTCCCCCGAAATATACCTTTCCTGCCATCCTTTTTGGGCTGTAGAGGGATGAAATAAGGAACAGTGACTATTTTTTACCTTACCTTTTCTGGTCGCCCCTAATTACAGTGTAGTGTGGTTTCGAGCTTGTTTGTGGAACAACACAATGCAGGAGTTAAACTTCTATTTTGCTGTGCCATCTGGTGTACGCAGCTAAAATCAGGTGTCTACCTGCAGCTTCGCTCTGCGGCAGCGGCGCAGTGTCGATGCTGGAAGATGGGGTACAGTCTGCGTTCACAGCGCAGCACCCTAGAGCTGCTTCCCCGGAGTTAGGGACTTCTGCAGCGTCCATTTACCTACAGCCTCCTTCGGCAACGTGCTTGCTCCCGACAGAGTGAATTGCGTGCATAACTTCGTGTTGGAGGATTTCTCAAACTACAGCAATTGGTTCTTCTGGCTTCAACTGTGCAAAACTTTCTGATTTTACATATCCAGAAATCTTAAAGGCCCACCAGTTGTGGGAAACCAATTGGGATGAGACGAGGTTTGCTTTAGTGAACTGCTAGTAAACTTTCAAACTATATACTTGTAAGTTTTCTACTTTGATGTAATAATGTTTTGAGGGAAATAGTTTGAGTTACTAATGTCACTGAAGGGCTCTCTGCCTGTTATGGCCTAGCTTATTCAAAGTGTTAGAGCTCCCAGATGGATAAGAGTAAGAATCTCGCTTTGAGGAGAGTGATTGGAGTGCAGTTTTCAGTAACTGTTTTTGTGGTCTCTGTCTTGCAAGATGACATAAATAGATGTAAATACAGTAACAATATTTCCTATAGACACATTCATCTTCCTTTGTTTTGTCCTTTTTCCCAGGAGGGGGATTTAAAACTTCTAACAGAAATATCCTCAACTGCTTCAGATTTGGGTTGGATTTTTTGCCTTTTTTTTTTCTTTTGTTTTTGTTTGGTTGGTTGGTTTGGGGGGTTTAAGTTTTTTTTTGTTGTTGTTGTTGCTGTTACTCATTTTACAGTGCCATGTTGAGCTCATGAAATCGCTTAGAGGATTAAGAAGTGAAGGTACTAAAAGTAATTTCTGCTTTTTTGGAAAGAAATGGTGGTGTTAACCCTTAGAAAATCCAATAAGAAAAAAGGTCAACTGTTTTCCCATATCTGAAGTCATGAATAGCATTAATAAGTGTAAATACTATTGGATGATATATTACAAATGGAAAAAAAAAAACCCCAAACAAACCATGTTTCACCAAACTTACATGTTTCCATTTTTTTGTGGCTGAGAACTCATAGGAGTTGATATTTCATGGTTATGTACTATACATGTGGGGTGAATTGTCTTTGTGTGACAAGAGAACCTGGTCTTTAATACCTTGATTTTTTTTTTTATTTTTTTTTCTTTTGGCTACAGTATGCTTCAGAATATTATCTGATATGCTGTATTGAATATTCAAGGTGAAAAGGTTTAAATGTTAGATTTTTAAGCTATAATCAACAGATTCTTCTCCTAAACTCAGAAAAATTGGAAGCAAAACTAGTAAGAAGTGCATGTACCCACTAAATTGCATGCACTTTTTTGAATATATGCTGTTTTAAGATGGTATTTGAGATACTTGCGCTAGTGGTATGCAGGTTTGTTGTTCTGGCCTTCTTTTTATAGGATGTGAAGTGTCAAGTGGAGCATGAGCTCCATTGGAGAGAACACTCATAAAAAGAGTGTTTGACGTGTGTTTTATTTATATATAGAAGAAGGCTCATGAGCATCAAGATATCACAAGAAGCATGCCTGTTTATCTGCCGACAGCAGGCGGTAATAACGTGTGGTACACTGAATGAGAACTCAGCCCTCAGAAATCAGGATTCAGATGTTTGTTAAACCTATATGCTTCTCCTGAAAGTTAGTTGTTCCATTTACTCTGTGCTTGTCAGCAGTGGAATACATCCTTTACTTTAATTTTGGGTGCTTTTTTCCAGGTCTAAAATATTTGAGTTTAACAAGTTTGTGGAGGTCATCATGTAGGATAGTGCTGTAGTTGTTACTAATGAAGCTGTATTCAAGTTACTGGATAACGAGCACTGTTACCATTTTTGTGATTGCCTGATTTTGTTCATTTTTGCTTGTTTATTTCTGCTTCTGCAATTTTATTTTTTTTTCTGCCCCAAGTATCAGAAGGCGGAGGGGAAGGAGGGGATCATTTTGAGCAACTGCACAAGCACAAGGCCAAAGACTGGTAATGGAAATCGCAAAAGAGCAATGGTTTGTAGGGATAAAAATTTGGGACAGAAAGATAAATTGTATGGTTTATTTGAATTTAGTCAGAATCTTTTCTGGTCAGATTTTCTGTGTGTGCGATTATTCTCATCCTGGACTTGAGGCATGCTTTGTACGATTGATGAAGCAACGAGCTCCAAATGCTGAGTTGAAAAGTACTTGGAAAACATGTTTTGGATAATTTGGTCAAGATCACACCAAAGTTTCCAAAGGAATTAAGTTGTGATATAAAAATTTCTAGCTTTCTATTTATTTATTTATTTTTTTTTTTTTTTAACAAATGAAAGTGTACTCTGTGGCTCAGTAAAATTGTTAGTTGTCTGTCTGGAAAGCACTTAACATTTTCTTTGTATTTAGAACTCCATCATAACTGTAGTGAACAAAATTAACTGGTCATAAGAGTCACTCAAGAAGTTACACTGTGTTGTGATTGTAATTTGGAGAAGGGAAGGAAACCTTCTAGATAACTTTATTTTTTTTCCACTCCTTATTCCAGTTAACATATTCTTAACTTAAAAACCTAATTAATTTCTTAACAGCATTTATCTAAAAAAACTAAATTGAAACAAACAAAAAAACCCTCTTTTCACTTCAATGAAAAGTGGTTTCTGTGAGACTGACTTGATTTTACGTTCATGGCCTATGAATTTGCCACTTATAGAAGTACATTAGTTTGAGTACTTTTGATAGATTAGAAAGCTTCATTGTAGGTTTGGTGGTTTTCTTTTATTTTCTTGTTTTGTCCCCACCCCCCCGTCGCCCCCCCACGTGGTGGAAGAGTATTTCTTTAAATTTAATCTTCATAATGAAAGATTTTTAGAGATAATATATTTAACTATAATACTTGTATCAAAGCTTACGCTAACCTAAAAATGGGGGTGGAGGCGAGACCATGCTAAAAAGATTAGTGCAAACTTATATCTGCACAGGTGAGATAGTTTTTTGGGGGGTTTTCTGGTGGTGGGTTGGTTGTTTGTTTTTAAACTAAGGTAATTCATATGTGGCTTGTGTTGACTATGTTTTTTGATTTTGACCATTCTGTGCAGAGGAATAAAATACAGATGATACTGCAGTATCACTTGGTTGATAGATTTATTTGCCTTTAAATTTTATCTTCACTTTTCCTAAGAATGACCTTTGTTGTAAATTTTTCTTAAAAGTGGAAGGAATGAGAAGGAGGGGAAAAATAGGAGAAGTGAGACCCAAGGAAGTACTTTTGTCCCACCTGTGCCTATTTATGTTGCATATAACCAGTATTTAGTCACTCAGACAGAGAATGTATTATGTGTATGCACTCAGTGCAGCAGAAGAAACAGGTACCTTATGTAATTAATAACAATGATTTTTTTCAGTTTTTCTAGTATTAAGTTTTTTGTTCCTATGCAATGCTTCTCCTTGGAATAGCTTGCTTTGTCTTTGTGGGAGTTGTTTTTGTGTGTGTGTGTTGCTTTGTTTGGTTTTGTTTTTTTGTTGTGCTTTGTTTGTTTTTGTTTTTCAATGGGAAATGACTGTTTTCTAAAGGTATGATGGTAGTTTAGGCTGGAAGGGACCCTCAAAGGTCATTTAGTCCACCCCCCCTGCAATGATCAGGGATATTAAATGTTTTTTTGATAAAATCATTTTTTGGTCAATTTGATTGTGAGTTGTGGTATCCTGACCTTTGGGACTTGCTTCATTTCATTTGCAAGGGACATAAGAACCCTTGAGACTCATCAGCCATGAAAATGGCATTGATGTGGCTTGAGAATTACCTTTGATACAGTAACAAAATCAACTGCAGAACAAAAGAAACAAAAGATTGTGGGTCATTATACTGGAAAGCTTCCAGTATAGCTATAGCAGGGAGAGAGAGCACTCCAAATAAATTCCTGTGGACTGCTGTGTGGTCTCTTAGTCTGCTTCTGCTAGGAGATTCTGATTTACCTTGACCTCAGCACAATATTCTAGGTTGGCTTTTTAGTCTGTATGTTCATCCCATATATATTTGCATGTGCTACTATATATATTGCTTTATAAATGCATATATGCACACACGTACTAGTGCATTCACCTGTGGATAATAGAGGTAATTCATGGCAATCGTGTGCTTCATGTGAGAGATGTAGGTTAAATAAAATTTGTGCAAGTTGTACAAGATAATGCGTCAGTTCTTATAACTGTACCAGAAATTACAGCAAAAACTTTGTATGTCACTACATAGAAGAAATGTTTAGAGGGTTGATAAAAGCAAAATAGTTGTTTTAAAGGTGCTGTGCTATATAAGAGATCAAGACCTCTGCTCATTTGGTTTTCTTATTGAGAGTAGTGATTTGACAGTACCATTCTCTGTTTTTAAGTTGTGTATTTCAGGCTTTCGGTTCAGAAATAAATTAAAATAGTTCATATAAATGTCTGTAATACTTTGTTAAAACTAATGTGGTTTTAAAGTACTATTATTGTAAAAATATCTGTTAATCTTTGGAAAAGAAGTATTATTTTAGAAATAGTAGCTGACATCTGATTAAAAGAATAGGTAGAAATTTTGTGGAAACAGTATTGTACGCAAAATTACATTTATTTTCACAGGCCTCATACCTCTTTCACTTCCTAATTTCATGCTTGTTTTGCTATGTTAGCAGCTAGTGAAATCTGTGTCCATGCAGCTTGAACTAGTTCGATCTTGTTTATTTGTGTACCAGAAGAACAAATCATTGTTTAATAAACATTCCAAGAGCATGATAATGTCAACATTACCTGCTTGTCCCCTTGTGCAAAGACAACTTTCTTGTAAATATTTTAGGGCATTGTTAAGGTGAAAGACTTTTATGACTTGCTAAAATCAGACTTGGAGGCTCTGCTTGCTTTAAAAAGGCATTGAAGTTTTATTAATTATTTCCTTTAATTACTATTATTTAGGAATTCTTTCCTAGTTGAAGTGTATGGCAGCATTTTGTGTCCCCTTTCCTATAACCCCCAAGGGCTGGGTAACATAGACCCAAGTATGGGTACAAGAAATGCTTATATTCTGAAATTGCTTCTTGCCCTACACATTATAGAACACTTGAATTACCTTGTGGCTTAGTTTCCATAGCTTCTGTCAGAATGAGTGACATATGACCAACTGTGGACAAGTCATGCAGTGAAAAGATAAAGCTTACCAATAGGCAGAATTGATTTTTGTTGTATCTAAGAGATGTTAGGATCTAGAAAGTATCCTTTGTTCCTGAGTACTGACTTCCATTGTACTGTGCTAAAATACCACGTGATTTTCTGAGGTGGAAAAAACTAAACTTTTAGCTACTCCAGCAGTTAGTTTTGTGCTCTTGTTTTAGAGAAATACTTTTATAGAATACAATTGGTTAAAAATCTCATGCAGAACTGGAGTCTGGGTTCCAGAGGGAGCATATGAAAATGTGACTTTGCTACACAGAGACAGGCTAATGGATGGATGAGTTGCAGGGGGACAGCAGAGAACCAAAGCAAAGAGGCTTTAGGAAAAGGGGAACTCTCAAGCTTCCCTCCTGAAATGTCTGGTCAGTGGGAGGTGTAATGGGATTGGGATGGTAGGCAACAGTAGAAAAGGGAGCTTTTTGCAGTTTCATATATGCCAGACAGCCTAGTTACCTTCTATTCAGAAACTTCTGTTCTTTAAAATACATAGCTTCCTTCCCCTCTGCATCCCTTGCTGTTTGTCTTTGAAATTGTAATTCTCCTGCAGGCAAACACTGGCTAAATCTCAAGAATAACCTCGAAGTCGTCATCCTTCTGCTTGGCTGCAGTTATATTTGGAAGCTCTTTGAGAATGCCTTTTCACCCCACCCCCCGCCCCCCCCCCCATCTCCCCTTTCTTCCCCTTTTTACCTCTTTGGGGACAGATCATCTCTGCAGTTTTAAGTGCTAGTCAGTGGTTTTGCATCTTACTGAGGATTGGGAAATCAATGTGACCAAGGGTGACTTTTTTTTTTTTTTTCAGGAAATGTTGATAATTACCGGAATGAGAGGATGGAAAGACTATATTTTTCTTCCAGGAACAAGATTTTATAAGGGCACTCCTTTTGTCCTCACCCTGGTCTGGATTCTCACAAGTCTATAGTTCTTAGAACTGAGAGCTGCTAGGATGAGAAGATATTCCCCAGCTTCAGAAAGTTTATCCCCAATTTGAGAGTCTTCTTTTTTTAAACACACAGCATGCGAAGTTGAGCAAGAAATAAGTATTAAACATGAAATAATAGCCGCGTTTAAGCATAGCAAAAGGAAGGAGGAACTATATAGCTCTTGAACAAGAGTTATATTCATAAAGGGACATTTTTAGGAAACAGCAAATCTAGAATGTTTGCATATGTCTGTGCTACTGCTGTCCAGCACAGCCTGGGTTAGCAGGAGACAGCCTTCTGATATACCAGTTTCTAGAGACTCCAATGTGTAGTGTTTGATGATTACTTCAGAGTTCTTCCAGTGCAAAATGCCAAGTGTTCTCAGGGCTTTTTTATGTGTTGAAGTCGGTTGAGTTCTTGATCACATTGAAATTGTTAATTTTTGAATTTCAGGATCACTGCTAACAGTGTATATTACTTTATATGCTAGTTCTTGCTCACTGTGATGGAAATACTGTAGTGTTGTGATGCTGTGTGCTCTCAGGCTTGCCTGTGAATTGAGAAGTGGAGAAAACCTGATGGGAGAAATTGAGTAAGTTTGAAGATCTGATGAGGCCTACAGGGCCTCTGCAGAAGAGCAGGTGGGCTTCATACAGTCTTTGGCACTTCAGTCTTTTAAAGACATTTTTAGTAAAGCAAAGTTACCTCTTTAAAGTGAAGTACTTTTTTTTTTTCTTCCTTCTTTTTTTGCTTAAAAATACCTCCGTGTGGAATACTGACTTCCACAAGATGGCTGTGGGGAAAATTATGCATATGATACTTCTGAGTAATCTTTGTCTGGTGAACTGTGGACTTAATCAGTGAGTCATGAGTTGACATGGTTTTTAACTAAAGAAAAAAACGTTCTGTGAAGGACAGGTCCAGAGTTCATGCTATTATGATATTAAAATAATCACTTTAATGTTTGAACAAAAACAGTACTCAATCTCCTCTTTTCAAATTAGTTTTAAATTAGACTGCATTGGAACCTGCAATTAAGATGCTGTTCTTTTGACAGTAGCAATTGCACTGCTTGAACCACTTCTTGAAGCTGAAGAGGGGACAGAATACGAAGGGGCTCAAAAACCTGAGCAATAATAAATGGTCATTAATAAATGAGTGGTTATATTCAGTCTGCAAAGGCATTAGAGACAGCATTTCCAATTATCAGGTTATTTTAAGAATGGCTGGTGGTCTGCTGCTTGGAAAGCAATAACAATATTGGCTGAGAATGGTAGTCAGAGTATTCTGAGTAAAACTGTTTTGTGAAATGTCTCTGAACATTTTTGTGGGGAAAATTGTCTTTGGACCAAAATCTCCATGGTTTTTATTTAATTTATTTATTTCAATGTATGTAATGGTATGATAGTGTAGGTAAGTCTTGGTGAAAATACACATGGAAGCATGATCACCAGATTTCAATTCTGCAAATCTAGCATTCCATTTTACTGCCTTTTTTCAAGACAAAAGTGTTTTTAGTTCCTATACTAGGAATGGTAGGGTTATCTGTAAGGCAGAATCATTTATGTCAGTAAATGGAAATCTTCCATCTGCAGTTTTTGTGAGACTGTTCTGCTCTTGAATCTCTTGGCCAACTAGAATGTCATTTTTGGCCCTTTTATCTTTCTCTCACTGTGGCATACATGGACTATACCTTTTCATACTTCACCAGTAAGCTGAAAGTAGCTAAAGTTTTACTTAATTCTTGTTTTTTTTTTTTTTTAGGCATACGCATCAGGATGTGATATTGTGGTACTGGGGACTGACTTTGAAAGATTACAGATAATCCCTGGTGCAAAACATGGAAACATACAGGTGGGATGTGTGGACTGTTCAATGCAACAGGGGAAGGTACGTAGAGCAGTGTTTCTAATAATGTTCTAGCAGTGTCATGTTAAGCACCTTCTCAAGAGTGTAGATACTTGCAAGTTAAGGCAAATACACAGGAGTGAATAGTGAAATGCTGATTGCTTCATGTCTTTGTGGTAAGCAGCACAGTGCATGTGAAATAGTAAGCATGGGTAATAAGATTGTAGAAGATATTTAGGGCTGTACAGGAAGATAGAGATGTGCACACAGCTGCAAAGAGGAGATACCAAGAATTTGGCTAAAAGATGAGTTAAGGTGGAAGCAAGAGTAATTTTTTTACTAGAGCTTCACGCTACTGGGTGTATCATTGATGTGCTTTGACATGTTAGTGCCTGGCAGTAGAGTGCTTCCACAAAAACCACGTTTAGATCATCTAGAAAACTGACATCCTTTTCAAGCAATTAATAAAGGCTCTAAAATTGCTCTTTGACAGGGTTTTGCTTCCTTGATTTCTCAGCTTTTCTTTTTCTTACGTAGGAAAACTGGATCAGAAATGTTGTATTTTAGATGCTATTAGGATTCAGGTCCTTTTTGCAGAGATCTTTGATAATAGTTCTGGCAGTAGCAAATACATAACCAGGTAGCTCTGTCCATTAGGATGTTACAGTGTGATTAAGGTATTCAATCCAGTAGAAACTGTGTCTGGGTAGGTAAGAGGGTTTTTTTAAGTTTGTTGCTTTCTTTAAGCTTGTGCTCCTGAGGAGATCATGTGAGCCTTCTGCACATCAGTACAAGCCTTGTTAGTTGAGGGCTTTGGTTACATTTTGGGGTCCATCTTGAGACAAGACCTCTGCATGGAAGCTGGTTCATGGTTACATGTGAAGTCTGTGGTGATGATCCTCAGCCACTCTATGTTCCTGCATTTTAATATTTCAGTGGTGAACTCTTGCAATGATAGTGAAGAACATAAATGAAAGTGAGGAAATGTTCTCGTCTGTGTTTCTGGTACCTCTTAGCCATAAAGACTGCATGTCTTGCTCCATTGGCAGCTGTTAAGTGGAAAGTGTTTTTTTTTAATTCACGGGCTGTATAATAACAGATGGTTACATGAACATGCAGATCATGTTAATCTTTTAAAATTTTTCTGCAAATTTGCGAGGTCATCTTGACTGTACAATACTGGTTCTGTATGTATTTAAATAACAAACTGTCCTTGAGCTGTGAACACATGGGAATATATCAAATTACCAAGCTTACTGAACTTTTCAGTTTCTTAATCAGACCTGTGGGGTCAGTTTGATTCTGCAACTTCTTTCCTGTTAGCAATTAAAACTAGATGTATTTGCAGAGTGATGAAAATAGTAAGTAATGAATGTCTAGGAATCTGCTTCTTGACTGGACCAAGCAATACATTTCTAGTTCACTGCTGCAAGGTTGGAATTTTTTCTTGCAGCTGCTTCATGTATATTTACACAGATTTCTCTTTAGTTTATATTCAGATTATTCTTTGTTCAAAATCTACAGTAAGAAGCAAAATAAGATACAAGTAATGCATCTTATTTAGGTTGCAATTTTGAATCTTTCTGGAAAGCATCCAGTTACAGTTTCTAGTTTATGAATTATGTACCCTTTTAATTTTTACCTTTATGGAGAGCTGCTATCAAGCATTTTCTCCATGACAGCTGGCCTTATTCTCTTTGAATGATCTCTGTCATTCTTCCTTTGGATGACAGAATTGTAATGAGTCATTTTCTAGTTATGAAAGTAAGGCATTTAAATTTTTCTTCATTCTTGACCACTGAATCTAATTTTAATTTATTGGGAAGCTAGTGGTTTGTGAAGCTACTTTGAAGTAACAACAGCTTAGAAGTTCATGTATGACCCATCTCTCCCCTGTCTTTGAAGGGTGGGGGGCAAATGGCGCCGTCTTTTCTCTTAGCAGTCTGTTTTTTGAGATAAACTTAATTATTTGTCTCCAAAAAGGAGATCAGGGGAAAAAATGGATGAAAACTTTTAATCATCCCAATAATGCATGTATGAATATACTTATATTTAAATGTGTTTATACGTGTATGCATATGAACTTTTTTAAGTGTCCCATAGATTTGCAAGGGCTAGTTTCACAAACAGGTCGATTTAATCTTAGGCCACTGAATCCAGTCTCTTGCTTCTGGTTTTAGGCAGCTTGGTAATGAAAACTTCTTTGTAAGTGGGTACAGTACTTGATCTCCTCCCACAGAGTATAAGCTACAAGCCTCTTTGTGCTTCTTCTAGTGAACATAAGAATGAAGGTCAAAACTTTTAATCATAACCTGACAAAACTTTACTTGTTTTCATGGTTTGGCTTGTAGAAATAGCTAAGGGGTGCAAGAATGTGGTCCTTCAGATAATTTTAAATGTTTAATAAAAGTTCATTGTATTTGACTGGTGACAGCAATGTTATTATGTATATAAAGTGTTTTCTTTATGGAACAAACTATTTTACTAATGTCAAAGGAAAACGTAGGTACTAATTAAAAATTTCATGCCAATAGGATACCTGTATAAAGTTGGTAGGTAAAACCAGTAAGCTTGCTAAACAATACATTTTTAAATAAAGACTTGGGTTTTTTGTTTGGGTTCTTTTTTTCTCTTTTTTTTCTCAGAAATACTAATTGAGTATGAAAGCTCAGCTTTGAATCCAGGGTTTAAAATTTCATTAACTATTCTACAGGGGATTTTTTTGTTGTTGTGTGTTTCCGGGTTTTTGTTTGTTTTTCTTTGGGTTTTCTTTCTTTTCTGTGTGTTTTGTTGTAGCTGGTGGTGGGTTTCTGTTGTTTGTTTTTTTAGTACACAGTCTGTAGTCCTTTTCAGAGGAGCTGTGATTGATTTTTCCACTGTTCAGTAGTGAGTAATAATGTAACTTAGTATGAGTTACAGATATTTTGATGAATGAGAAATTTTGAGGGTTTCTGCGCAATGTTGGGGCCTAGTGGAGAAAAACATAAGTGTATCAAGAAATGAGTTGGATTATACTAAAGCTTTATGAAATAAGAACCTGAAGCTGCTAGTTGTATTCCTTTTTGGACAGAGTGGTGAGGGTGGACAATGTTGTTGACCCTAGGACTCATATAGTGGTGCAAGAATTAGTCATTAAATATTTTGGGTTGGAAGTGACCTTTAAAGATGATCTAGTCCCACTCTGCCATAAATCATGTTGCTTAAAGCTGCATTCTGCCCGATCTCAAATACTGCCGGGGTTGGGGCAGCCACAGCTTCACTGGGCAACCTGTTGCAGGTAGTTTGGCAATTTCTTCAACACACAAATTTGCATTATTCTTTTTGGCAGCATGCTGCTCAATGAGGGCTGGTTCGAGTGACTGTATCATTGTGGAAGCCTGTGGAAACATTCAGAGGGTAGCTAATGCTCTGAACACCACTTGTTTAGCACTTTGGGAGGCTAACGTTTGTGTTAAAAACCCACTTAACAATAAAAACTGAAGAACTGTCCATGCTCGGAAGAAGGGAAGAATCTAATCAATATGAGTTTACATAAACTCCTTGCTATTGGGATGTGGAATATCATTATCAGAAAAGTGAGGTAGTTAAAGAGAATTAGAGAGGGCAAGTATTAGTCTGAGATGTAAAGTAAAAGCTTCTTCAGGCATTTTGCAATTATGACAATTATTCTTGGCATTTTTGGGTCATGCTGGTGTTTAGGTTGTTATGTGATAGAAATTTATTTAACTGTAATTTTAATGCAGAGGATTTCTCTTGAAGCTACAGAGCTATGGATTTTAGGATCTGTATGGATCTGTACATTTATACAGCTCATGTACATCTGTAGTTAATGGATCCATAAATAATAACAACTTAAGTATGACAGTATTGTGGTCTTTAAGATTCACTTGGACTGTTTCAACCTTTCTTTCAAGCTTGCTTTTTATACAGATATCTTGAGATAAAATACTCTTAATTTTCTCTTGATGCAGCTTTTTGGTGACTGATACAACTGGTGGAATAAGACATTGAAATACCAGTTAAAGCTGACCATGCTGCAACTTTTTTTGAAGTATTTTGCATTGGCATTCAGTAGTTCTCCTGTTTTTCAGCTCTCTGCATTGGGCATTTAGCTTGCATAGCTTGAGTCTTTTGAATTAACTTTTTATAATGTAGCATGTTCTCAGGCCAGGGAACAAAAGTACCCTAAATCAGTGTTGGTTCCATTTTTGAGAGTGTGAACTTTGCAGACTCCTTTGATTGTTTACTTAATTAAATGTAGAAATAATATTGATAGTAGAGCTAACCTTGAAAAGGTAAAAAAAAAAAAAGCTCATATCCACTCTCAGTAGTTCATCAGAACTAATGCGTAAATAAAGAATTGTATTTTTATCACCAATACAAGGGAGTATGGACCTGAGCTTCAGATGTATTTAAAAGGAGGGTTAAGAGTAGAATCAACAATTTGCAGTACATTCTTGTTTGTTCTATGGTTTATTTTTTCTCTGTTTGTATATATACATATAAATATGAATTTGCTTTAGATTGCTGCTTCTTACGGAGAAGTGATTTGTATCTTTGAGCCAGTTAGCCTCGTGAAGCAGAGCAGTGGTCATCGTAATGTAAGTAAATCATCACTTATTCATTAATTTACTTAGTTATGAAGCTTTATTTTTTCTGGTTTGCTTTAAAGTTGAAGATTCATTTGATGTCTTCTAATGCTAGAATAAAATTGAAAGGTAAGGTGGCCCTTGGAAAGTAAATTTATAGGAGGGAGACAGAGACGTGTTATTTGAAATGTTCTTTAAAGAAACAGATTTTGCTATAATGCTTCATATTACTGATTTATCTAACCCTATAATTCGTAACTGAAATATTCCAGAGCCTAAAAAGATGGGCACTTCTTGAACCAATCTGTGTAGCCTGATGTGTTTTACAGTCCTTATTTTAACTTTGGTTTATGAAACTGCATGATTTTGGTCAAATTTGTAACAGTTTCAAAAATTCAATTTTTTTTTTTTTTTTAAAGAATATATGACCAAATGCTTGCTTATACTTCAGTATTATAGTAGTGAATGAGAATAGTGTTTTTTTTCTTGATTGTACAGCTTAGTTTCAGTGACAGTAGTTCAGTAAATTGGTGGCCAGAATCTTGATTTCTGGCTAATAGTTTGATTTAAAGCAAATTATTTAACATGCTGCTTACAGGGAAAGGATTACTCTAATAATTAGAAGTGTTGGAGTCTAATTAAAGTCAGTTTGATGATAGGAAAGCTTTGATGATAGTTGACCCCTTCACATGTTTGGTGTCTCCTTTTGTACTAATGAATTGTTTATGGAGCCTTATAGTGGATTCCCTTCTTTATAGTAACCAGTCATACGATTCCCGGTGTACCTGTAAACCAGTGGTATTTTGTATATTAATTAAATAGCTGGTATTGAATATATGTAATAATTTGTACCCCTGGAAAGCAGAGGAATAAAATAATGGTTGAATGTGACAACCTATGCTCATATGAAATTTTCAGAAGTACTGTTTTCTCTTTTTATCACTGGAGCCACTGCATCCATGCTGAAAGTTTTTCTCTACTGGTAAACTACACTTATCTTTGAACTTTGTTAGTGTAGCAACTGTAAGCAGTAGGGGAAGCACTCTCCACCCATTATTTGCTTTTAACATTTATAATTGAAGAAGTACTCTGTTACTTCATTCTCACAGTTAACCTCTATGCAATAATTTCCAACAGATTTAGTCTGTTGTAAGGTTGTCTCTGTCTTCCAGTTACTAGAATGTTCAGGATCTTATCTGGAGGTAGCTATTACTGTTTTCTACTAAACTTTTGAGAGATTTAGTTGTTATATGTTAACTTTTACATCTCTTGGTTTGATATTTTCAGAGTGGGGGACGATTAATTAAAAAATGTCTGTATTTGTGAATTAAGAAAAAAACATTTTGGCTCTTCGTATTATTTCCAGTAATGATTTCAGTTTCTTATAATTCATGGCATCAAATCTTTGCAATCTATTATGAAAACAGACCAGATAAATATTTTGTGAATTTAATCCTCAGCTTGTTCCAGTGAATGAAGGAATGATGCAAAATCTGTATACAGTATACTGTCCTGTTGTATATTGAAAAAGAAGGGGGGCGGGAAGTATCATATGTTATCTTGACCTTATTGAAATCCTTTAATTCAACAATACTGCTGGTATCAAACATCAAGTGTATTTAGTGTACATAATTTTTGACCTTTTTTTTTTTTTTTTTTTTAAAAACAACCCAGATTTCCTCTTAAAAAAATAAAAATCTCAGATTCTGGTGATGATTTTACATACTGGTTTTATTTTTAGCTATATTTTTCAAATGTGTTAAAAACTTCTGTTTTTATGGTCAGATTAACAGAAAGCTGCTTCATTGAAAAATCAGAAGTAATAAATTTTTATTACATAATCAATAATTTATTTTAAACAAATCCTTCCTGAAGGTGCAATGGAGATGTATTTTTGATATTATAAAAAGGGAAGGAAGTATTTTCATATTAATGTTTGTGAATGCTTAACATTTCAGTCGTTACATTATCAGTGGCAGAAGAATGCACAAATCTTACTGGAAGCCATAGCACATAATCTAACATGGGATCCCACAGGTGAGAATCGAATAAAAGAAACATGTACTTGATATAGCAACTAATTTTTTATTTAAATTTCACTGTCTTTTGGGTACAAGTGGAGATTGATGTTCTCTATAATTCTAAGACAAAACAAAAAATTGAGTGAAATCTACCTTTTGTTTCTTGTTACAGGAAAGCCAAAATATTAGGTGCTTATGTAAGGTCTTGATTATCCTCATCTCATCAGTATCTAATTTTTAAAATCATGGTTTAACTAGTGAAGTATTTTTTGTGGAAGAAATGTCTACAATAGTTCTAAGGGTTTCATGTAGAGAATAGATACTTTGAAAATTTACTTAATTTTCACGTTTTGAACTGTAGGTGCTCAAATCAAAATGTCTTACATGAGAGTATCTTCTTGCAAGGTTGAACCAATCTACATTGGTTAGAGGAATGTGTAACTGCTATTATAGTAACTTTACTATACAAAAAGTATTAATATCTGGTGTGTTTTGTTCTGCAGTTTCAGCTTTGAAAGACTGCTTGTTTTCCTCTTCCTTCATGGAAGTTTGTATTTTCCTACTTATCTTGTAGTTACATTGTCAAAAACATTCCATTTAGGCACTCGCCTTTTGACTGGTTCCAGTTGTCTTCAGCTTTGGTCCAATGTTCCTTTGGAAAACCCTTCTGACAATGACAGTACTGAAAGAACAGATACTGGACTTGGTGAATGGAGGTGTATCTGGCAGTGCAAGTAAGCAACTGTTTAAAGACATGTGATTCCTTTTTTCTTGCTGATTTGTCCGTTTCAGATGAAATGTTTAATGTTGTTCTGTTGAATTCCTTTGTATACTGTTACTTAATAGATATTATTGATAGTGATAAACTTGAATCATATTGCCCTTGAATACATAACATTTCTTTCCTTTCAACTGGTTTTGGGGATAATTTATGTTCTTAGGCAGTTCTTCAGTTACATTGAAGCACTAGTAAAATACAGAGGGAAGGCTGCTATTGTCCCCGTAGGCTTTGTTGCTTGTACAAGATATAAAGTGAAAGCTGTGTATTGCAAAATGATTATGCTTGCAGGACTGATTAAAAGAACCTTCCTTCTATGCCCAGTGTAATGCACCTTTCTTTCTCATATATCTCTTCCCTTACATACGTATTTTGCTTTTTCTGTGTTAATTCTGCGTATTTGGAACTGTCATGCAAAGATGGATGCATTCTGCTTTACTGCACCTTTGAATGCTCTTTTTGTATGCATGTTGATTTTAATCTTTGTGTCTGTGTATAATTTATATTCAGGAGGGTTTTAATTTAGTAGTTTATAAGAATTTAAATCACTGTCCTTCCTGCCATAGGAAGACTTTCCTAATACATCAGGTGCACTGTTCACTTCAGATCACTGTACTTTACGGCAGTATCCTGAAGAAATCTCCTAATGTGGCTGGCTGGGGGTTGATCCTTACTTGAAATTATTCTTTATGAAGCACTTAGCATTGGTCATGCAGTTCTCTGGATTCACCTAAAAAAATTAAGCAAAAAAAAACCCAACAACCCCAAAACCAACACTGCACGCCATCCTCCCCCCCCAAAAAAAAACCCCAAACAAAAACAAACAAAAAAAAAACCCCAAACCACAAAAGCCAGAGCACCTTTTTGTAATCCTTTGGTTGCTGCTTTTTCTGTGTACGCTAACATTTACCAAGGATGTATTTTAAATCCCAAGATCATCCAAGTGACAACTGAAAAGATCTTTGAAAACAGTGGACTTTCTAAATAAAAGAAGTTGAAGACTTACTCAGTTTATTGAGTTGTCTTTGGGCTGTCATCTCTCAGCCTAATAGAAGAGGAGTCAGCCTGTAGATAGAACGCAGTGAGAATCTGGGGCTATGATAACAGTGGTCAGGATCCTACAGATACTGCTTTTCCTCTGTCCCATCAATGATGTGTTTTGCATCTGTATCATAAACCTTACAGAAGACTTCACAGCTCTCTGCCTGATTCTATCTCTTAAACTTTTATGGAGGAAAGAGGACTGAGTGTTTTATACTTTGAATTAGGAGTTCTTGTAAAGGGTCAACAGCACTTGCTTTGTCTGTTTATGTCTGTATGTTTTCTGGCACTTGTAGTTCAGTTACATTTAGAATGGGTTTTTCTTAAGGAAGAGTTTCCAGGATTGTGATTTTGCAGTACTAGCCTTTGCCAAATGTCTTCACATTGGCTTTATTAAGAGGATCTTACTTAAAGTTAGCTAAAAATTTACTTTTGATTGTTGCATAGCTTTTGTAATTGACTTCCTGCTGTTACAGCATGTGCTAAATACATCATGCTCTTTAATGACCTGATGGCTTAATTCTTCCTGAAAGTTAGGCCTTACGTGATACACATGTTTAATGAATTCAGGATGAAAACGTACACTTCATTTGTCCTGCGCAATTAAATTCTTGTATGTTCTTGCTGCCATTAATGAGCTTGTCAATTAAGCAATAGCTCAGTGCTTCAAAACCTGTAAAAGGGTATAATTTATTGTACTTCCAAGGAAAGTAAAACAACAAAAATGAACCACAGACTTAGCTGAGATTATTTTGACGTGGCATCTTTTACCAGTGTGACCATTTATGTAAAAATTACTTTCAGATACTTCTAACCACATTGTTATTTTTACACCTTTTTGTTTTCTTGAGTTAGAACTATAGGAAGTATTTTTCAAATGAGTTGGAGAATAATATGGGACAACAGAAGTCACTTTGAAATCCAAACAATTGTGAAGTGGAAGTAGAGAGCATTTTTGTGCACAGTGTAATCTGTTAGCAGCCATTTTTCTCTTATGATGTTTTGGAGTATGGCATATTGTGATGTCTTTAGCTACAGCTTTCTTGTTTTCACTTTTTTCTTGTGACCACAGCCATATGTTGTGGAATTTGTTAATGTACACTTGCGTATAAGAATTAAAACATTTTCATGGTTTCAAGAGGGAAAAACTGCTTAGATTTCTGAAGAAGTTCTCAAAACTTATGTTCTATTTTTAATTCTTTATTTCGTAGAACTGCTTCTCAAGTTTGTTTAATGAAATTCTCACCGGATGGGGAGTTTTTTGCTACTGCTGGAAAGGTAAAGATTTTCTTCTCATTGTTTTTCACTAATTTAGGTAAGTTTTTAAAGCAAACAGACAAAACAACTTTTGTGTTTTGTTTTGTTTTTTAATCTTTTTAATGAATTTATTTGTGTGTATATATATATTTTATTTTTTTTGCAATATTTCCAGTAATCCCTCTATGCATCTTTACATTTTGTTAAAGAATCTGTGAAGAGGGTAGTTCAGGTGGGGCACGACCCAATAAATATTCAGTACTGGTTAAAAATGGCTATTTTAAAGCAGTTAGTACCAAATTATAAGACATCAGTAAGGGAAGAGGTTTGTGAATGGGGGAGATCAGTGGATGAGCTCACTGCTGGATATCTTTCTAGTGAGGGAATATATTTAGTATTTCACTATTATGATGTTGTTAATAAAAATTAGTTCTTTACTGTGTGTAAGTATATCTGTGTGCCTGTTTTTGTACATAGAAGAGAATTCACACTCCTCTTCACAGGTGTATTTGTGGCCAATGTTACGGATTAGTTTTATTAAAAGTGTTTTGTCATTGTTGGTGATATATACTATGTATTTTACTTTTTTTTTTTTAGTTGGTCTGAGTTTATATTTATTTTAAAAGTCAAGTTTTAAAGGATTTTAATGTCATAATATGATTAAATAATGGAAAAATTTGTAAATAACTTCTGTGGGTTAATATGCTTGCAGAGTTTTTGCCTGGAATGCCTTATGTTCTGTTTTGTTTTCTTACACTATAAACTCATGCAAAAGAGAATTACTATATAAGTAGGAATAAGTAGTAAGAATTACTAAGTAGGAAATTAATGATGGATTGTTTTACCCTAAATGAGTAAGTTAATTACATGCCTGCAGAATCTTTAAAATGCATCCTTCTTCGGTTTTTTTGGTCAGCAAAACAACTCTTCCTCCCCCCCAGCAGGGTCATGTTAAACATACCCAGGTCAATACAATATTTCAGTACCATTCATATTTGATAGTTTGATCAGCAACTTGCAAGTCTAGATTAATTTATCTAGTGCTTAAACACCTAAGGATAAGGACACTAGAAATGGGATCTTTTCAACTTATGTACATGCATGTTTACGAAAACCAGGCTGAGTAGTACTGAGCTTGATTTTTTGGGATGTCATCTTTGCCCTTTGCATTCCTGAAGACTTAAATTTGTATATGTAGGTTTTGGTGGCTTTCTGTCAAAGTACAGTTAGTTGAATTAACATTGGGATACTAGTCAAGCCAGTACAACCTGCATTTCTGTGGTTAAAACTGGCAGCTAATCATAAGAAGCAAAATCAAATCCAAGTTAGTAATGACAAGAGATATTAAGATTAAACTCTGCTACTGTATTTTGTTTAAGATCGAGTTTTGAAGTTCTACTTATGAATTGACTTCTTGTCATCAGAAAAGTAGTTTATGTAGAAGAAAAAAACCACAGGAGATGTGCCCAGAAATACTTGAAGTACATCATATTCTTATGCAAGGTAGTCTTATTTACTGTCTTTTTCTTTCCCAGGATGATTGTCTTCTGAAGGTATGGTACAATACAGACAGCTGGCGATCAGCCATAACACCACCTGGTGCAAGTCCAGAAAAACAAGCAAAAGAAGTTGATTTTTCATTTGTTTATTTGGCTCATCCTCGATCAGTAAATGCGTTTTCATGGAGGAAGACCAGTAAATTCATGCCACGGTCAGTAGTTCTAAGAACCTAATTCTGTGTACAGTCAGCGGTCATGCAAGTTACGTGTATGGCTTATTTCAGTTAATAATTGAGTTTGCATAGTTTGTAGATTGGTTGTGTGTTTGTATAATTCCGGCACACTGAAGTTCTTGAGAACATTGTAAGCACTCTGTTACCTGGGAAGCAACTGGAAAGACAGAGTCCCAGACTGGTTTAGAGATTGGAGTAAATATAAAACCGGCTCTTGCAAAATTATCTCTTTGCATCTTTTTCATTGCACTTAAGTGACTATTCGTGCATTTTGATCCCAGCTTGTTCATGTCTTTCTGTCCTAATGGAATCAGAAAAATTCAAAAGTCCTGTCACTTTACATCATCTTTTTCAAACATTCAGCTGTTTCTGTGCCCTTTTATTTATTTCTCTACCTAGTACAAAACCAGTCCTTGGTCAGAAAACAGTATCTGGAACTTGAATTAAAGTGATCATTTAGAACTGATGTTTTCAGTTTCATTTCTGCCCTTCCCCCTGCTCCAACAATTCCTGGATGATCTGTCCCATACTGTTTTCACCAGTAATTGTAACCTCAAACGATGTTGCATTAGGAATTTTGTGCCCTGCAACCAACCATCCTTTTGCCATATTCTTTGATATAGTAGTAATTTGAATTCTGTACACCTTTGTGTGTTTAACCAAATGGAGAAAAGTTTTAAATTTGGCTGTTGTAGTTCTGATACTACCTTAATTTCTCCGTTTTGGATATACAATTTCTAAATTCTGTATACCTGTAAGATCTGAGGGGGAACTGAGAACAGGAATCCAGAATACAATTAGCTTTTTATGTGAAGACCTTTAGAAAGAACAGCATACATTCTCCTGTTCCAGCTTTGACTAATTCTGTAAATTGAAATCCATGATTTGATGTAGCACAGTTGTGTAATGAATTTTGAAGGAATTTATATTCAGATACTTGAATAAATATGAAAGCCTTTTGTACATAATTTGTTTTCTGAAGAATGTATTGTTGAGTTTTTCTTTCCTTAATATCTTTAAGTTACTTGGTTGCAATTCTGAAAGCTGGTAATGGAAAACTGTTTGGAACTGTTGCTTTATTTTGATGCTATGTGATAGTAAGCAGCTTCTTCACACCTTAAATTTTCTTTCATTAGTGGTGCTGTCTGCAATGTACTTCTGACTTGCTGTAAGGATAATGTTTGTCGTATCTGGGCAGAGACTTTGTTACCCAATGACAGTCTGTTGAATGGTGGAGGATACAATTGGAGTGAAGCAGCAAACTTCACAAGTAACTTCAAGAGAAATACTTCAAGTAAGGAAAAAGTGCAAAATACCTTAGAGGTAAGAAGTGAAATTGAATTATGAGAATACATACATGCAATTTTACAGCAACATGCGATTTTAGCCAGGATTGTAATTAGTAACTTGCATGGAGCTTAAGGTGAAATCCTTTATACCATAGACATAAGCTGAAATCCTTTATACCATAGATGTGCTTAGCATATTACAAAGCAATGAATTTAATCGAAATCTTCCTTCGGAAGGTTAAACTGACAGCTATCCTACTGAGTTTTCAGATAGGAAGACACACTGCTCTTGCATCCCTGCTGCCCATTTTGCCCTTGTGACTGAAGCAAGTGCTTTGCAATATCTAGTTCAAAGTGCTTTGCAGTATCTAGTTCAAAGAGCTAGTAACAGTATGGAGCATATGCTGTGGGTTATGTAAAACCTACAAATGATATTGCCTTAAATGTAAGTTAGGGGCTCATTTGCTACCTCAGAGAAAATCCCACAACTTCGGTCTTCTGCAACTGGAAGAACAGATAAGATGAAGGGAAGACAACCTCTGTTGCTGTACTGCTGTAGTCCTCAAGCAGAGTAGACTGCTCACAAGCTGTATTTAAGTCAAATGATCCTTACCAGTTAATGTTTTCTAACCAATGGGAAACAGGGGGAAAGTGAAGCATTAGTGATATCCTACAAAGCTGTGTAGAGAGGATGTAAACATAGTGCTTTTATCATATTGCGGTGATGTATTTAGTATGCTTATAGTGCTTTCTTAGCCTATATGGTATACATTAAAAAGTATGACAGGTTGAAGGGCACAATGCAGCAAAGAAAACTATTCAAAGGAGGGAGGGGAAAGGAAGTTGGAGACAGTTCTGTGTTCCTGTTGAAAATAAGAGATCAGAACTAATAATTACAGAAAAATGAGGAAAAACTTTTTCACATGAGCATGCTGTTGTAAGATACAAATGATAGCAAGTGAAAAGGAATGCCAAGAGTGTAATACATCTTTAATACAAATTATGTACTTTCTTGTGCTTTTGGTACCTGTATAGATAACTACAGCACAATGGGCTTGAACCATGAAGTGTGTGGAGAGAGGCTTTTCAATACTGGGATAGTCAGTCTTAAAAATGGAATGTTATTTTTTCCTTGGAAATATGTATTTGCATCCAGGGAGGAAGACCTTAAAACTCAGTAGGTCCTTATGATGGGAGTGGAAATACTGATCTAATTGGATCCAAAGTACTGATCCAGTTTTTTAGTCTATGAAGTGAGATTACTTCTATTTGCTGCTTTGTTTGTTCAGAATCTTAAATAAGCACATTTATGGAACACAATAGTATTTTCTGTTTAGAGTATAAAAGCTGTATGAGTATTGTTTGCTCATTGAAATAATGAAACAGTTACTATGTCAAGGGACTGTTTAGATCTTCATAAATGAATCTGAAGGCACTGGTATCTCTACTGCAGACACAACCTGAACAGTGTGATTTTTGCTAGAAACTCCACTGATGCTTTGAAGTAGCTTTTAAAATGGGAAAAAAATTAAAATCATTCATTAGTACTTAGAAAACTACTTATAGCTGAAATCTGCTTTTTCTTTTTGAAAGGAATTTGTAATGACATCTTATTCTTAACGCAGTTAAACCTGAGGCACTTCCGACGAGGAAGGAGGAGGACAGGTGCTGTTGTAGCACATACTGGATATGCTCCACATCAGCGAGATGCCCATGAAGTTCACAGGAATGTCCTTCCTCATGCAAATGCACTTTGTCATTTCCATATTGCTGCCAGTATCAATCCAGCCACAGGTAAGCAGTGTGGTAAATCCTCGCTAAAGGGTGAGCTACGGTTTCTGCTAGGTCTGTGCAAGCTCAATGGGCTCAGATGTATTTGTACTGTATTTACATGATCATGCAAAACCTACTAGCATGTTGATTTAATTTAATGCATAAAAGGACCTTCTACAGTAATGAATTGGTTTGGGTAGGTTTCCTCTACAGTAATACTGTCATTTTTGCTCATCTTTAAACTGAGATTCACAGTGGTCTGAGACTCAGAAGGCTAAATATCTGTAACTGGAGTTACAAATTTACTAGGAATTGTGTGTCATAGTAGGAGCACATTGATAAATCAAAAATTTGAATGTTTCTTAAAACAAGTACCTGACCCAAAGTGTCTGAACTAGCCTTGCATCCCTGTGCTTCTCTTCTGTGTCTGAGCCAAGCAAAACATGCCTTCATCTTGTCTTACATAAACTAATATTTTCTTGCACTCAAGGAATAGGTTGGTAGGCATTAAGGAATATCCCTCTAGTCACTAATATTTCTGTCTTCACGATCATTTGGGTATGCTGAAAATGGACTGCATGTCTGCTTACTGAAAAGCTGAACAGAAATGTAATATTGAATGGCCTTTTTTAAGTTTTTACTGTTGTGATGTGATTTTTCTGTGTCTAGACTTAATGAATAAATATGATGAAACCCTTTTCTTAAACTAGTTAAACTCTCTCAAGTATTTAAAATTATTTTTTTGTTTCTATTTAGCCTTGTTTGAAAGGCCAGTTTTGACGGAAAGGCATTCATGGTTAGTTCACATTTGTAACTGTATAGCCTTTGGTATGATTAAAAGGAATCATTGGTTTCCATTACCATTTCTGAGCTAAGCAAGCTGTAAACACTTTGTCCTGTAAGAGTAGAGTTACACAACACCTTTCGTAGCGTTGGTTTATGCTGCTGTTAACAGATATGACCAGAGTCACAGCTAGTCTATGAGAAGGAAACTTCTTGCTGTTTTGTGCTGTCCCATCTGTAATTTTACATAATAACCAAGTAGATTTCAATTTTGCTTTTAATAGTCTTTGCAATATAAATGCCGAACAGTAAACTCACAGAAATTTTGGAAAATAATGGTTAAAGTTTTTTCCTAGATGTCAGCACTTGTGTTCAGCCTTTCAATCTTGTATTCCTTCTGTGTTACCTCTATTAATATTATCTATCTTGATGCTTGGTCTTTAACTCAGTAGGTAGGAGGATAACAGGCTTTTTTTTAATGCATAACCTCTGTTCTAAGGAACTTTTTAAAATCTTAAACCTTAATTTGAAGAAGTATCTGTTTTGCCTTACAGCCACATCGTTAAGTACCTCAGTCTAACCAGATTCTCTAAGTAGTCCTTTTAAAATGCCCTTTTGAAATAAAATTTTATCTGAAAATCTAATTGTATTTTGTTTAATTTAAACCAAATTGGTTTATGATATGTTACTTGAAAATTTGCCCTTATTACAACAGAGTGCTTAATAAAAATTAAGGTCAAAGCAGCTTTATATCTCAGTCACTTCACTTTCAGAAGAGGAATAATGTGGTCATATATAACCAAAAATGTCTAATTTTTATTTGGCTTGTGTTCTGTTGCTCATTTTGAAACAGTTTCTTATAGCAACAAAATCCCTGAGACTTTCTGTTATACCAGAGTGTTACTTAAACTGGTATTCAGTTTAGGGTGGAGTTCAGTGAAAGGAATAAGCACTGGTTGTTAGGACAAAATTGTCTCTAGGCGAATCCAGGCAAAGTCATTGACTCCAAAGTCCTTAAGTTTTCTGAGAAGAGTGTGATTTATGAAGCAAAAAAGAATTCCCTAAGAATTTTGTCCAGAGCTGAGGATCAGTTAAAATTTGGTAGTTTTGTGGTAGGAGTATGGGGAAAATCAAGTTATTTTTGTTTTAGTGACCTTTTGATATATACTCAAAGTACATGGATTTATAAGTCATCTTTCCAGCTCATCATCTTATTCATGTTTACTTTAACTTTGTCTTCCAAAGAGATACAGAGTTCTTCTGTATTTATTATTGCCAAATGCGTTATGACATTTTTGAGGCTGATGTTGATTGGTCTCTTTAGAAAGACGGACTGCATTTCTTAAATACTCTGTGCTCCTCTTGCTCTCTTCTCTTACTATGTCCCCTTACCATGACAAAATTGCTGCTAGTCCTGGTGGTCTTCTATATTTGTGTTCTTAGTTATCATTTTCTTAGGCTAGACTGGAGGGTAAGTCATTCAAAGCCATCACTGTCTTTATAAAAAAACCCCAAACAAACCAGGATTTAAGTAAAAAGTCTTCTGTCTCCCAGGGCATAGAATTTTATGCTTCATGAATAGGGGCAGAAGGAAATAAGAATATGTATGAAAACTTCTTGATGGGAATTAAATACAGGTTGAGCTTTTGGCATGTTGGTGTATGGCTCATTTAAAGAAATCGCAGTAAATCATATAGCTGCCACACGTAACTTAGATGATGTTACTCTGCATCAATCTGATACTTGCTTCTGCACTTACTGTGTGATTATTGCTTTATTTTTCATGGCCATCTGGGACACCAGCTAGCCTCAAAGGGCAATGTAAAATTGTAATGGAATTTGTAGGAATCAGAGATCCTGTCTTTATATGATCATCTGGTCACTGTACTAGCTTTTGCTAGTGTAAGCCGTGTCATATGTGGTCCTTGATTACAGTGTATACCTACTGCAGCCTCTGTTGTGTACTAAATGTTGTGAAATTACGCTTTTATTATTTGGTTCCTACTGAGCTATAGTGGCAAAAGACAAGGTAAATTAACCTGTACAACGCGATTGGGTCATGAAAACATAACAGTGCAGGCCCACAATGTAATCCTAATGTAAACGTCCCAAAGAGCCTTCCTGTGGAACATTTTTTGTGGCAGCAGTTCTGCAATTTAATACTGAAGGGAGATGATGTTGATGAAAGGAAAAACAAGTGCAATACACTTAGTATATGTTTTTCATGGTCAGGTTTCTGCTTAAAAAAAAAAAGTCTCTAAAATTGCTTTTTTGACCAAAGTAATTGGTTTTCAAAAATGTCAACTTTTTTTTTTCTTTTTTTTTTTTTTTTTTTGATAGATATTCCTCTACTCCCTTCTATAACATCTCTGAGTCTCGGTGAAAATGAAGAAACAAGTGGACCTTTTGTTGTGCACTGGCTGAACAATAAAGAACTTCATTTTACCTTATCTATGGAAGTATTTTTGCAGCAACTTAAAAAGAGTTTTGAGCATCATTCCCCTGAGACTAACACTGAGGAGTCTAATCAAATGGATGGCAGATCAGAAGAAGGTAAAAGTCTTACCATACACAAATGGCTTTCATTTTACAAAGCAACCTGTCATGTAAGAATACAGATTGCAGTAGCATTTCTTTGTGTTTCCTTTTCTTACACTAGAAGTACCCAAGTGACTTTAAAAATCTATCTAGAAATTATTAATCTGTTTATGGTAGTTTCTGAGATTTTGAGTTAATTGTGGTGGAAACTGTGTTATTTACTTAGGCTGGCAGTCATGCCTTTGCATGAAAGTATGATTTTTTTTTTTATATTAAGGAAGTATGTACAACCTTAGAAGTAACTTTTTATACTAATGTACACCTAATTTAAATAGCTTTAATGTATAATGGAGAAGAGGAGATTGAGGGGTGACCTTATTAGTGTATATAAATATCTAAAGGGGGAGTGTCACGAGGATGGAGCCAGGCTCTTCTCAGTGGCAAACAATGATAGGACAAGGGGAAATGGGTACAAACTAGAACACAAGAGGTTCCACTTAAACTTGAGAAGAAACTCCTTCTCAGTGAGGGTGACGGAACACTGGAACAGGCTGCCCAGGGAGGTTGTGGAGTCTCCTTCTTTGGAGACATTCAAAACCCGCCTGGACACGTTCCTGTGTAACCTTATCTAGGTGTTCCTGCTCCGGCAGGGGGATTGGACTAGATGATCTTTTTGAGGTCCCTTCCAATTCCTAACATACTGTGATACTGTGTGATACTGTGATAATATGGTGATGATTGCTTTTGTGCTGCCTATGCGTGCAAAAGTTTGCATAAAATGGGGAAAAATTGAAGTATTAAACCACAATATAAACTGTTTTGGTTTCTTAGTCATTGACTAAGGTCCACTAGAGGATTTCTAGTTAAAACTTTTAATTATTTTTAAATTGTGCTTATATGAGTAGTTTGTAAAGGCCCTGAAAGATGTTACAGTGCCTGAATAATACTGCTTGCTGTTTATGCTTTTGAATATAATATTTACACATATGTCTGTGTGTGTTCTAGAAGTTAATGAAAATGGAGATGAACAAAAAAAAGGAAACCAAGAAAAGAAGGATCTGGGTGATGAGAAAACTACTGCAAATTCAAGTTTCGTTCCTTTATCTTCTGCTATTATTGATCATGAAATTGAAATACTACTTTCTGAATGGAGTAAAAATGCTGACATGCTCTTCAGTATACATCCTGTGGATGGTTCACTGCTGGTATGGCATGTGGACTGGCTAGATGAATACCAGCCTGGCATGTTTCGCCAGGTGCAGGTACTTTATTTTTGCATCAGTTATGCATCGTTAATCACTGAGAAGTATGATGTGAAAATAACTTCTCTTTCTCTTTTTTTTTAAAATTCCAGGTGTCATTTGTCTCAAGAATTCCTGTTGCATTTCCAACGGGTGATGCAAACTCTCTTTGCAGAAGCATAGTGATGTATGCCTGTACCAAAAATGTCGACTTAGCTATCCAACAAGGCAAACAAAAGCCTTCTGGCCTTACCCGATCTTCATCTATGCTTATCTCTTCTGGACACAGTAAATCTACCAACAGTTTAAAACTAAGTATCTTCACACCTAATGTTATGATGATTTCCAAACATGCAGATGGGTCATTGAACCAGTGGCTAGTGAGTTTTGCTGAGGAATCTGCTTTTTCAACTGTACTCAGTATTTCACATAAATACCGATATTGTGGTCACCGTTTTCATCTTAATGAATTGGCTTGCCACTCAGTGTTACCACTACTGCTTACAACCTCACATCACAATGCTCTAATTTCACCAGATACTGAGAATGCAAAACAGGCAAATGATTCTTTAAAGTCTCAGGTGTCTCCAGTAAGATTTCAGAGTAGAGGCAATGCAAATGTAACATCCCAGGATCCCAACGCAGTTTACAGTGAACTTATTCTTTGGAGAGTTGACCCTGTTGGGCCTTTGTCCTTTTCTGGTGGAGTTTCTGAACTTGCTCGGATCAATTCTCTCCATGTTTCAGCTTTTTCTAATGTTGCGTGGCTGCCCACACTTATACCCAGCTACTGCCTTGGTGAGTTCCATTTCCTGATTCATTAAGCATTCTAGAATAGTAGTAATATAAACTTATAATGCTACTAAATAGATAACATGGATATATTTGAATACATTGGAAAAAATGTTAAGCACAGTTCTTTTATTTCACAAATTTCCAGCAGCTGATACTTGGAAATTGTTGATTCCTGTATGAAGAATTGCTGCCTTCTTTTATGTAGTTGATATTTTAGGAGCTGATGCAGTAAAATTCTTAGATGCTGATGCATACTTCAGAGTGTATTGAACACTTAAAAGCTGAGGAGGATTTTGCTCTGGTTTGCAGAGGGTATTCTTATTTCCTTTCACATACTCCAGTTTTGTTGCTGAGTGTAGCAGTAAAATTTGTAGTTCTTGGCACTGAACAGAAATTGTTAAGAGAGAATTCAAGAGACAGTTTTTCTTACGCTACAGTATTTTCTTTCATAACACCAAAATTGCCTTTTACAAAAAAAAAAAAAGTAAGTTGGTATTTGAATATTTGAGCACTTCTTGAATTCCTATTTTTCAGGTGCATACTGTAATTCTCCAAGTGCCTGCTTTGTGGCTAGCGATGGACAGCATTTGAGATTATATCAAGCTGTAATAGATGCTAAGAAACTTTTGTGTGAGCTCTCCAATCCAGAAATTTCGGTTAGTGAAAAGCTGTCTCAAGTTTTTGAAGGTTGGAACCTTATTTAGTAGCACTAGTTTCAGACTTGTTGGTAATTGACTAAACTGGCTGCTAAGGGTTTCATGGATTGTGGCAGTTTATTTCTGCTTGTAAAAACAGATATAATACCTCTGAAACACTTCCAGTGTGAGGATTAATAACAGTGCAACAAACTCTGTTTGCATGTCCATTGTAAGGAAAAGTTGAGAGGACAAAGCAATCTGGGGAGAGGACAACTGCTGAATGTTATGTTTTCCAGATGTTCTCATCCCCTTTCAACCCCTGAAACCATTCTTGATAAAATTGGGGATTTACCTGTGTCCTTGGTAGATTGCAAACGGTGTATATTTAACGCTTTAGTTAGTATTTTTAATGATGTTGCACCTACCTGGCATGCAATGCCACAGAAATGCACAAAACTGAGTTAACAAGACCACTCCCTGACTCTTTTTGAACAGAAATATGTTGGTGAAGTTTTTAACATCGTAAGTCAGCAATCTACGGCTCGCCCAGGATGTATCATTGAACTGGATGCTATCACAGAGCTAGTAAGATCTTTTTCTCTACTAATTTTATACTATAATTGGCCTGGTTGAAAGGTATTAATAATAAAGTCTATACCTGTAACCCTTAATCAGGAAAAGGTGAGGTATTTTAAAAATGATACTGACATATTCTTGCTTTTGGTTTCATAGTAACTGTAAATGAAAAGAAAGGGAGTAATGATGGTGCATTTTCTTGAGAAATCTTTCACTGATATGTACGAATTACCAAGTTAAAAGCTTCCATTTTAGAAGCTCCATTTAGTATACTCCATGATGTTCACTCCTTGTGCATGTTTTAATTCTCTTAGCACGGCAGGAAAACACAGTTATTCCATGTTTTTCAAGAAGACTTCATCTTAAGTAACCAGGAGAAGGAAATACCTGAAAAGAAGACCAATTCATCAGACTCTGGTAAAGAATTCTTTTTCTTTGAACACTGAAGACAAAGTTTTTTGTTGGTTTTTTTTTTTTTTTTAAATCCCATGAAGGAAAAAGGTCTTGTTATATAGTTTTCAGCCTTTTAAGGTCAAATACTCTGAGTTCTTTATATACTAAAGGAGAAAATCTGGTCTAGTGAAACTCATGGGTGTTTCACTTCCTTTGAGTAATGTGGAACCAAATTTTAGATAAAGTAGCTTAAGTCACAAGACACCCATCATGTGCTGTATTAGGCATTCCACTGCTAATACTTTTCTTAGAGGAGGGGGAAAGGGTTTTAAATGTAGATCCTGTAGTTGTAGGGTATGACGTAGAAAAGCTTATTGCATTCTTTCATGCTGGGTGTTCATTCTTTATATCAGCTAAATAGAGCTCTTCGGGCCTTGTGTGGTATAATAAAATGCTTCGAAGCATAACTATAAAATGCAATCTATGAATAGTGTGTAGATGGGCAGATCTGAATTGTTGTGGAATAAATTATCAGTTTTCCTTGGTGGAGAGCATCAGTAGTGGTAGTATATGGGCATCTCCATTTTGTTTTATTCTGTTCCAGTGAAATAATGTCAAAAAATTGGTCAGAATAAAGTTTGTGATGCCGAGTCATCTGCAATAGTGAAGGGAACGCTAAATAAAACAAGCATATTTGTGCAACAGTGTTAGAATGTTGCATAATAACTTGGTGCACAATTTTTGTTAGAATGGGGACACCTAGTGAAATACTACCCAAACTGTATATATGCAGAAGTAAATTCTGAATGATTTGGAGTAATGGCAATAATCTGTGAAAATGTCAACCCAACTCTTAGTAGAAGTCAAAACTGTAAATGGGTTGTTGAAAAATAGCATGAAATAGAAAACAGAAAGTGTTACTCTGCAGCATAAATTTGTTGTACGTTTGCATCTTGCGTATGAGATACAGAAAGGACTTTAAGAAAAATATTGAAGCTGCTTGGCCTTAGAAAAGGGCTACTGTATTCATCTGTACGTGTTCTAAATGTCTGCATGGGTTGCTGCTGTGTAAGAAATAGGGCTAGACGGACCCTTTGAAAAACAGTAAACTTCAAGCATCTTTGGATACATTCTAGTTTGAAAGCATTTTTTAGTAGTTCTAAGGTCTTAAGTTTTAAACCTCTTGCTCATTCTTCTTTAAAACATATAAGTAGTTAGCTCATGTTATTTAAAAAAAAAGGAACAAATTCACTTACATTTGTCTGTAGTACTATAAGCAACCCAATGTCAAACTCAGAGAGAAAATACAGCTTATTCTTGATCGTGTTTTATGTAGATGGTCACTAAACGTATTATTTCTTCTTGGTCCTAATGGGTTTATTTTGTGCTAGGGAAGGAGAACGTCTGGGTGCACCCTCCAAAAATGGGCTCCTACTAGTATTGCGATTCGTGTCATCTTTTCCTGGGGCGAAGCTATAGCAAATAAATTAGGAAGAGGCATGGTACTTCTTGTGCATTCCAGACAGCGTAGTTGGGCTTATTGGGTTATGAGCAATTAAGCCCTATCCGTTAGACGAGGCTGTGACTTTTCTAACTGTTGAAGTGGCATTTCTGCTCTAGATGTAACTTCTATACTTGTACCTTAAAGGCTAGTCCTCTGTCTAGCTCACCATCTTAACTGTTAGAGTTGCCAGTAACAGCTAGGTAAGAAATTGACAGAGATGAGCATGTGAAAAACAAAGATGTAGAGCTAAGAGTACAGTCTGGGGTTTAACTTTAAACTTCAAACAAATATGTATTACTCTCTAAAAGATAAGACTGGCAATTTTTCATATGTGTATCTATAGTGGTTATTGCTTGTGATAAAATACTGAGAAGACTAGTAAACCAGAATTGGATATATTCAGACCATTGCATTTCAGTAATAGGTTGCAGTAGCTTAATGTGATTATTTGCTAGTCAGCAAAATTTAGCTCTGCTTTCTGATGAATAATCTTGTAAGAACTTTCTGTTTTAAATTTCATCAGGAAACCAGCAGAATGGATTCTCTGAAAAATTCTACTTAATAGTAGTGGAGTATACGCAAAACTGTTCATTGCTACATATGTGGCATTTACATCTGAAGTCAATTCCTGTCTCAGTAGGTAAGCCCTGTTTCCTATAGTTTTCTTAAAAAAAAAAATTAAAAATGTCGCTACCTCTTGAATATATCTGCTATTTGGCCTATTCTGAATTGTATTTCAGCTTTTTTTAAAGCAGCTGCAATTCTTTGATTACAAACTTTCATCACTACTTGTTTTTTCTTGATTACTTCTTAATCTTCAGAATGCTGAAGCTTTTTGATTTCAGCCTCAGCCCAAAGTTTGTTATTTTTTGTGCATTCCAAGGGCAAATATATTTATTTGATTTTAATACAGCCTAACAGTTCAGGCTGTTTGCTTCTCAAAAATTTTTGTTCCACAGTTTTTTACTTTATACAGAAGTTCTAAATTTGTCCATACTCAGAGTTAAACATCAGAGATACAATCACAGTTATGAACAGTTTTGAAGTTCTGAGCTCTGCTGGTTCTCCTTCAGGCTACCAGAGTACTTCCAAAATTATAGACCCTTTTAAGTAATCTAAGATATACTTCACTAGTTTTTGTTAATATTAAATATTTTAAGCAAACATAAATCATGTATTCGCTTCTTACCAGAAGAATCTGTAACAATGCACGTTTCTGCATTAAAACCAAATTGGTATTTGTCTTAGTGTTGCTTCAGTTATTTTAAGCATTGCTACAATTACTTTGTAAGTTGGTGAGAAGATGAAAGGTCCAACTGTTCTGATCTACTTATACTGAGCACATTACTGGTAAGTCTTTTCAGCCAGCCTGTTGGCATTTTTCTTGTTCCAAATCCTTAGAATTTGTGCTTCAACTGTTGAATTTTATTAAAGTAATGAAGCATTTGTGTCATGTAATCTGAGATACTACATTTTAAGCAATATGAACAAAACTTTACTGAAAAATACTTCTCCCCAATTTGCAAGGTAGTACTTCGAGGTCTTAATTTAATCTTCTCAGGTAGCAGGTACTTTGTGCTTCATGAGCATTAATTTCAGTGGATTACCACGCTTACAACACTTTTGTCATCAGTTTTGGTGTTTCTGCTTGTCGTTTGATTGGTTTAAGTCTGAGGAGTTAAAAGTTATAACTTCTCAGCCATTCTAGAATTTCAGAAGTATTTAATCTGAGGCTTGCAATCATTTCTCTTTAAATTTGACTTTTTAAAATTAACAATGCAAAATTTTTTAGATGAAAAGATAGATTCAACTACAGCTGGATCGGCAACACAAACAGAAGTATATTCTTCACCAGATATAGAGAAGATCCAATCACCTTTCACTCAAAAGTATCAGGCCTGTAGAGCAAACCTTCAGAGCACCAGCTGGCTCTCACTGTCTTCCAAAATGGTATATAGTCAAAAGCTGAATTTGCCAGAAGGAGTAGAGATAATAAGTGTAAAGCCATCAGCAGGTTTGTAACGTTTTGTTTCTTCATTTGTCTGGGTTTTTTTATGTTCTTAGGAAAAAAATAAGGAATTCTTGCCTTTCTGACTTTGGGCTTAAAATAGAAACAAAGTAATAGTCAATTTGATATTTGTTGTTCACATTAAAATGCCTGTATAAGGATCCAAAAGGCTTGCTAAAACTTGCTCTTCTAACTTTAAATCTTGATGTTGGAGCTAATACTAAAATAAAGTTCTTATTTAACGTACAATATTTGTTTAATTCCAGATTATTATGATAAAAGGAATTATATAACCACAAATTTGTTTTTGCAGCCACTCATGAATTTTTTTGTAGGATCCATAATTTAATTATAAGGCTACCACCAGTAGTCCAAAAAGTACTTTTGTAAAGATTTTTAGATTTCTGAATAAGAAATGTTTATTTGCTTGGGAGAGTTTATAGGGGTTTAAATCGTATGATTTGACTCTTCTCTAGAGCATGAAATAGTAAAGGGTAAAGGTTTCATAGTATTTTTTCAGTTTCCTTTGTTCCCTACAAACATTTTTGAGGAAGCAGTAGTATTTTTTTTCTTTCAAAATAATAAAGTAACTGAATAAACACGTCTTTTTTGCTTACTTTTTAATATTTCCCCCAGTAAAGGTGCATTTTATTTAATTTTAGGGCATCTGAGTTCTTCTTCCATATACCCTGTTTGTCGTGCACCCTATCTGCTGGCTACTTCATGCTCTGATGGAAAAGTTCGATTCTGGAGATGCAGGGTTACTACTGAATCATCAGCTTCTTCTGTGCCAGAGTGTAGTGCACAAAGTGGTGTCACTTACATATGGGAAGAGTGGCCATTGCTGATTGAAGATGGACTTTTTAGTAGTAGTGCTATTAGTGTTCCAGGAAGGCCAACAGAAGTTAGCTGTGCACACACGAACAGATTAGCAGTAGCATACAAGCAGGTAACATCTAAAAATAGTAATCTTTCTGAAGATTTTATAATGCATGTTAGTATTTTTGAATGTGAATCTACAGGGGGTTCTTCCTGGATTCTAGAACAGACTCTTCATTTAGATGAGTTAGGCACTATGTTAGACTCTGGTGTTAGTATTGATAGTAATTTAGTGGCATATAACCAACAAGATGTTTCTCTGTCTCATGGTGGGAATATTATGCCCAGGACTAAGCACTTGGTACACTTAGATTGGATGTCTAGGGAAGATGGTTCGCACATTCTAACAGTGGGAATTGGATCCAAACTTTACATGTTTGGTCAGCTGTCTGGGAGAATGCAAGAACAAAATGGCAAGGAGATTGTAGCATTCTCACATAGTGGCAGTATGAAGGCTACAACACTTTCTGGGTTTGTTCTGCTGCGCTCTGTTACCTTGGTTTCATCTGTAGAGGGTTCGCCTCCTTTTCCAGTCTCCTTGTCTTGGGTGCGTGATGGCATTCTTGTAGTTGGAATGGATTGTGAAATGCATGTTTACTCCCAGTGGCAGTCTCCTTCCAAGCAGGAACTGGTTAGTACAGATTCCTACAGTGGAAGTATGCCATCTATAACTGGCTTAATGAAACAAAGCCTGTCAGCCATCTCAGGTCTGCATCCACCAAAACGAACATTGACCAGATCTATGACCAGCCTTGCACAGAAACTTAGTGGGAAAAGGTCTGCCTATGGTCTTTCTACGGAAATGGAAGATTCTGGTCTTTTTGAAGCAGCTCATGCATTATCTCCCACTTTACCTCAGTACCATCCATATCAACTGTTGGAACTCATGGATCTTGGTAAAGTACGTAGAGCAAAAGCCATTCTGTCCCATCTGGTAAAGTGCATTGCTGGAGAAGTAGTCGCTATAAATGAATCTGAACCTAATCATGATAAGAGGCTCAGATCTCTGACCATCAGTGCTAGTGGAAGTACTGCAAGAGATCCCAAAACATTCAGCAAAACTGAGACTACAGACTATATTGAAATAGACTCTGTTCCGCCATTGCCTTTGTATGCTCTGCTTGCTGCAGATGAGGATTCATCTCATTCCTGTTCAGAGAAGTCTAGTAGTCAAAATAAAAATGATAAGACTAGTGACAATTATGAAGATCTCTTTCAAAATACCGCTGTAAGTACAGATGAACTAGTTACATTTGACGCAGATGAAGACAGTTCAAAACCAAAAGTCGTCGATCTTTCTCAGTATAGTCCAACTTACTTCGGACCAGAGCATGCCCAAGTTCTTTCTCGTCACTTGCTTCATTCAAGCTTGCCAGGTCTGACTAGAATGGAGCAAATGTCATTGATGGCCTTGGCAGATACAATTGCTACTACCAGTACTGAAATTGGAGAAAGCAGAGACAGAAATCAGGGTAAGCTGTCTCTTCCAAGTTAAATGTCCTACTGCGCTTCACAACCTTTTTGTGGAGTTTTTACTATTTTGGAATGGTTTTGGGGCTTATGAAAGCATGTCATTGATTTGTTTCTTTGTACAGTCTGTATTTACTGTGCCATCACAGTATTTACTGTATAACTAAAGTTTCAAGACTTTTTTATAAAATCAAACTTTCCATTGCTAAGTATTAATGCCACTGATAGTCCATCAATCCATAAATATTTCTAATTCACTTTTGAAGAGGCAACTTTCTTAGTAGCCAATGTTTGTTGCACTATGTAGAGAAATAAGTTTACAGATTTGTTTATATGATAACACTTTTTATATTTTGTGCATTAAGAACAAATAACTTCAAAACTTTGACATTCTCTTCTTTCCCATTCCTTGAATGGAAAAATTATGAATTAAGCTATTATATTTGTGAATGTAAATCAATAGTAGTCGAAGAATTGTGAAGTATTTCTTTAAGACACCCAATAGCTACTCCTAGTAGTTTCTCTACAGTGCTTATAAAGATTATTAATTCCAGGTGGAGAAACTCTTGATGAATGTGGTTTAAAATTTGTATTGGCTGTTCGGCTTCACACGTTTCTAACAACTGCACTTCCTCCTGTACATCGAGCTCAACTCCTTCACCAAGGTAACTGATGTATTTTCTTAAGCGAGGTGAATCTTAGTGACATAGATGGTACATATGGTACGTATCATTGCTGTGCTGTTGACATGCCTCAGTGAGTTATTTTGTTGGTTTTTGTTCAATATGAATATATGACAAAGCGGAAAATGTCTTTTTTTTTTTTTTATGTAAAGGTCTTGGAACTTCGGTTGTTTGTTTTGTTTTTTTCCTCCCTAACAGTTTTTTAGTTTTAATTTCTGTTTCCCTAGGAGAAATATAGAACTGTTCTATATTTCTAGTACCATGTTGTTCTAATAACACTCTTCAGGAAAAATGTAGTAGAAAATAGAGTACGTATTTAGGGTTTTAGTACATATTTGGAGAAAAAAAAATCTTGACAGTCTGCCAGATTTTAAATGTCTTTTCATATGCATACTGGAATTATCTAAGGAAGTATTCTTTGATACAGTTTTTAGTAGTTCTAACCTTATATTGCAGACATCAGAATGATACGGATTTGATTAGGCCTAATCAAATCTAAAGGACTAGCTGTAATTGCTTCTTTACCCTTTCAGTGGTCATCATGAAAGTTGATTGCACTTCCAGTCTCATGGCATGTCAGCCCTCAGCTGCATCAGAGATTGGAATTTGCCAGGACTGCCACGACAGAGTACCGCTGAGTTAGCTCTCTGGGGAAATATTTTTAGTCGAGATACTCAGGAATTGCCAGGAGTAAGAAATACCTCCAAGGCACATACGGAAGCGCAGTTGAGTGTGCTTCTGTATAAAGAAATGTCTCCTGGCCTTCACCACAGTTGCAATTGCCCTTAGCCGACTGTGCTGCTGCTTAGTAATTGCCATCTTTCTTGTGGATTTTTTTTTCCTTAATTTTATTTTTTATCTCTGGCCTCAAAACTGTTTTCTGTTTTGATCATCTGAAACTTTGCATTTTCTAATCCAAGTCAAACGAGTCAAAATAGTGAATCTACCTTTCAAAACTCTGAAAAGTTTAATAGATACGTTGCTGTGCACTTTGTGTTATGGCTAATTTTAATGTAGCCCCCTGTATTTCAAGCTTCAGACAATAATTCTGTTCTTTGACAAATTCCACAGAGAGCTTGGAGGCGAAAAAATGTTTTAATCTGTATGAGCTTTTTTTAATACATGGTATAGATAGCACTTAAAAATATTCTTAAATTTCTGTTGCTTCATCAGCAATGCACTTAAATCTAAAAGAAGCATTTCAACCTTCTTCCCTTCTCCCTTTCCCACCCCACTGACTTTATATTCTCCATTATTTTATTAGTGAATCTCTTTTTTTTAATGGATTATTACATAGGCTTATCTACTAGTCATTTTGCCTGGGCGTTTCATTCAGTAGCAGAAGAAGAACTACTGAGCATGCTCCCTGCAGTGCAGAAAGGAGATCCAGCATGGTCAGAACTCAGAGCTATGGGTATAGGATGGTGGGTTCGGAATATCCATAGCCTGCGGAAATGCATAGAAAAGGTAAACGTAGCATTCTGAAACAAAATTGCCAAACATTTTTTAAACAGCTGTCGTCTGGCATTTACCTTCTATTTGTGTGGGGTTAAATTTAGATACGTTCTGTGGTTTTGAATATTTTGTGCTGTATTTTGTTGTACATGTAGTCATGAACTTTCATATGAAACTTTTTTTAGTACTTTAGATTTCAAATTCCAGTGTGAAGTATATTATGGGCTTCTAGATATTCCATTTTGAAGGCGGCAGTGTGCAGTGCTTATTGTGGATGTTCAAGATACAGGTTGAGCATATAGTTGTTTTTATAGCAAAGTTTAGTAAAAGGTTCTCCTTAGACACCTATCAGAAGTGGGGCCAACTAACATATTGGACATCTGTCTTGCAAATTGATGCATTTCCAAGGTAACAAAACTATCTGTTAGTTTGGCTTCTTTTTTTTTTTTTTTAATATATTTTAATTACCACATAAGCCTAACCTCATTATCACTTGTTTTAAGCTCTTGGAAAATCCAAATGTGTTAAGCTAGAAAATGACATGCACAGGATACTTTAACTACAAGGCACAAAGTGGTAAAATGCATGTCTCTACTTTTTTTTTTCAATCTTTAGTAATTAATCATCCCTTTGTGAAACTTAACCTACCTTGCATTTAAAAATTCCAAGCATTCTGGGCCTGCATTTAAGGTTACTTTACATGGGTCTTGGACTGTTCTTGCTGCCACTTACCCCTTTTCCCTTTCCAAACTCCAAAAGTAGTCTGTAAACAACTTTTCTTCTGTTGAGAGACTCCATCTGTCCTTTGATTACCAAAGCAAATAATAAATTATTTTTTTTATTATTTCAGATGTAGGAATTCCTGTTGGATCTACCAAACAGCTTCTAGAACTGGAAACCATTAGCTAAGTGATATCAAAACAAAGGGTTGCAGCTGTGGTATCTTCACGGGTCTTTGTCAGGCTTGTAGTGAGAGGAGGGCTCCTAGATTGAAGGGAACTTCCAAGCACTACCAGACATGGGATACCAGAAGCACTAAGAATTCCATTTTAGCTTAATTTCAAATTTGGTTGATTTTTTTTTTCTTTTTTTTTTTTTTTTGCTGTTGAACTGTCTTCACAGGTGGCTAAAGCAGCCTTTCAGCGAAACAATGATCCACTTGATGCGGCTATTTTTTACCTTGCAATGAAAAAGAAGGCTGTGATCTGGGGACTCTACAGGTAGGGGAGCGTGCAAGCCTTACATAAAGTTTCACACTGTCTGGTATAATTTCAGGGAAAAAAGTTGAACGTGATGGTGGTCCAAAAGAAGTACAAATACTACCATTGAAAGCTGAGATTCAATTTCTTAATTAGTCACTACATAGAATTAGTAGTTTTTAAGCTTCCTGTATTTACTGAGGTGATTTAGTTGCTGTTCCTAAAAATAGATGCTTCAAGTTTTAATCTCAAATATACTGTAATTTCAATGAATGCTTAATTCTGCTTTACTTTTAAGGAAATGAAAACTGTAATGCATCTAGGAAAATGTATAATATTTTTATCAATTACGTTCAATATACAGGTCCCAAAAAGACACTAAAATGACACAGTTTTTTGGAAACAACTTTACTGAGGACAGATGGCGTAAAGCAGCATTGAAGAATGCTTTTTCTTTGCTAGGCAAACAGCGTTTTGAACATTCTGCAGCATTTTTCTTATTGGCAGGACACTTAAAAGATGCAGTGGAGGTAATGAACTAATTAACTTTTTAATGTTTAAGACTGTTAAATTGTCCCAAACTTACAAATATATTGAACATGACTTTCTTTTTTTTTTTTTTTGCTCTAGTATGACCCCTGAAGATTCTGCAGGTTTTGTGCTCTTTCCCTCCCTGCTCCTCCCTTCTCTCCCCTACACCCCCAAATTAATGACAAATAGAAATCCTTGATCTTTATGGGTTTTTTTTTAGCTCTCATATTGGTGATGCTAAAAAGTCCCATGCTTAATTTCTCTGTAATAGTAAGAGGCCTCCATACCATTAACTTGCTTTCAGTTTGTGTACCCTGCTATATATGAAGACAACACAGTTTCTCATTAGAAAGATATACATCTGAAAATTAAGGCTTGTTGGCAGTAATGCGGGTGGGCTTCTAGAATCCCTTCACAAATCAGAATTGTTTTCTGGGTCTGTTTGAACTGAAAAATTTGGAGGAAATTAATCTCTTTGCTAATGAAGGATTTGTTTTGTAAAGCTTTGCAACAAAAGCATCCAGCTTCAAGAGGTTAGAGGTTAGCTATTAAAAAAGAGGTTAAATCACTGATGGTGATTTATTGATGCCAGTTAATTTCGAAGTTCTGTTGTCGTGTCAGACTTAAACTGAAGAAATTGCAAATCAGAATTTATATATAACAGCTACAGCGATTCTGCATAGTTTCTGCTAATTTTTTATGGAATTAATAGACTGACTTATCTCAGTCTGAACAGATTCTTGTCACTTCCTGTCTTGTGATCATTTTAGCCAGAGGAGAAATTGTAATGTTTGTTCTTGTGAATATATTTTTCAATTAGGTCTGCCTTGAAAAACTGAATGACATTCAGTTGGCTCTTGTAATATCAAGACTTTATGAATCAGAGTTTGAAGTATCTAGTACTTACAAATCTGTACTACAGAAGAGAATTCTGGGAAGTATGTGTCCTGGAAAAGAGAGCTTAGGAAACATGCACTGTGACCCTTTTCTGCGAAGTATGGCTTACTGGATTTTGGAAGATTATAGCAAGGCTCTTGACACTTTAATTAAACATTCTGTTGAAGATGGAGGTAAGAATATGTTAGGTTGGCTTTAATTATTTGTCCATTTAAGTAGTAGTTTCTTAAAGCATAGTCTGAACAAGGCCAAGTACTGCAGAGTTGCTCACCGTTGCTACTAAGTAGTTTGCTACAGCAGTGTATGTGACTTTTGTAGTAAATGTGGTGACTGTGTTGTAATCCTGTATCCTATGAATGTATACTGAATTTATCCTTTAAGGAAGTGAGTATCAGGATAATGAGAATGGCTCTGAAGTGATGCAGCTGTTTGTCAAGCAGCAACTTAAAGATGAAGAGCCAAAGTAACTTCAGTAGCTAATTTGACTCCATCATAATTTAGGAAAAAAATTCTGTTTGCACAGTTACATAGCAAATTACAGAAGAAATGGTGGTTTGTAGCTTTTAGTCATTGGAAGGAATTGTTGCCCACAATGATAAACTGCCATTGAAAAGATTTTTGGTATTTGCTGTCATACAAAGAGGTCCATGTGGTGCCTGAAATAGCATGTAAATCGGCTAAAGTGGTTCTTTTCCCTGCTCACTTTATAGGCCTTCTAAAAATCAGTTCTGATATTACTTAATGTTCTCAAGGAAGTTATATGTTTTGAGTCCCTAGTAGGGGCTAGCTAGTTTTAGTCCTGGCTACTGAGAGAAATTTTATGGAGGTAAATGAAGACCCAAATCCCCAGAGCTGTGTAATTAATTTTAAAATCCGATTTCAGTAGAAGCTGTACAACTCGGTATAATTTTGAGCAAACAAGGGACATAATGCTCTGTTGTTTGCATATTGGTTACATCCTCCTGTGTAAAATAGTTTTAAAATGTTACTTACTCTTCTTTAATCAGTTCAGTGGCTTATCTGTGGTGTTTTGCTTTATTTTCTTACTCTAAAGGTTCTCTTTCATATACCGTTTCCTATTATTTGAGTTACTTGTGCCATAGCTCCCGAAAGAAGAGACAGTAAGGCTATCTGTCTTGGGTAATCTCAGCGGCTTGACTTGGCTAAAACTCAAGAGGCTCTGTGAATGATCCTATGCTGATGCTTGTATATTTTTAGGGTTTTTAGTCTTGCAGTTTTGGACATGAAAATAAACTGTTTAGGTGATGAACTGCTGTATAATTTATTTATTTGTATGTAATACTGACAAAAATGTGTATAAATGTTATGGATTGCCTAGTTTTATTATAAACTGCATTTTTGTTAAGAGGTAGGCGAAGTAAATACTAATCCAAAATTCATAAAGAAGGCTTTTTAAAGTAAAAGTCCTTAGTAATATGTAATATCTTGTCGTTTAGTGATGGGGACTTGAGAAATCTAAGCTGAACAAGAGTGTGGTCTTGTTTGACTGCAGTTTGATCTGGCTGGCCTGACTGCAAGGAAAGTAAATTCAGCTGTTCTAATGGTCTTATCTGCTCTCCCACTCAAGTTTCTTTTTTTAGTAGTGATTAGGTTTGACAGTGGCCTCCCTCCCAGGATACTTAAATGATAAAGGTACAAAGGAAGGTGAAAAGGGAGGTACAATGAAGTAAACTATAGAATGAACCTTAAGACCTTATAGCCTTCTGAACTTGGAAGTTCGCAGCTGGATTATTCCATACAGAATGGTATCTTTTCCTCATGATTCAATATCTTTTCAGGTGAAGGAGATGGCTCATCAAGTTGTAACCCTGCAGTGTTTAACTTCTATAACTATTTAAGAACACATCCTCTCTTGTTGAGACGTCATTTTGGCTCTTCTGATACATCCTCCACACACATTTGCCTAACAGTAGAAAATGGATTAGCTGACAAAATCAACGTGGGTGAAAGACAGCTGTTTTTTACCACTGCATATGCTCATCTAAAAGCTGGTTGTCCTATGCTGGCATTAGAAGTGTTATCAAAGATGCCCAAAGTTGTCATGAGGTCAAAGTCATTCTGTAGATCTCCTAGTTTAATGGATACTAGTAAAGACTTCTCACCATCTTCTCCAGTTAAAGAGTTAGAAACAAAAGACCAGTCTTCCAGTATTGATTGGTCACAGCCAGTGCTGAATGGTCTAGGTTCCTCTTCAGATTGTTCATCAGGAAAACATTCAAGTTCAACTCTTTCCTTTGAATGGAGCCAGCCAGGTGTGATATTCCAAGATGAGCCCTTAAAACTACAGTCAGACAGTGATGGAAGTGAGAGTGAAGATTCTTCCCTGGTAATGAAAGAGCTAAAACCTCTGAAGAAAACTGAAAAATTATATGAAGCAAGTTCTAGCTACACAGAATCTTTCAGTGTAGTTGATGACAAAGATATTCTAAGTCAATCAGAAGATGTAATTTCAGCACAACTGAAGTTTAGAGCATGCCTTAAAATTCTTACTGTAGAGCTTCGTACGCTGTCTACTGGTTATGAAATAGATGGTGGGAAGTTGAGGTATCAGCTTTATCAATGGCTTGAAAGAGAAGTGGTAGCTCTTCAAAAGACATGTGATTATAGTGTTGAAGATACACACTCAGAAATTAGTGTGATGCCAAAGGAAACTACATTACATGAAAACACTGAAGATTTAGCTGACCAGCAAAAACATATACTACAGAAAGAAGACTTTCAGAAGAGACGGCAGTGGCTCCTGAAATACCAGTCTCTCCTAAGAATGTTCCTTAGTTACTGTATACTTCATGGCTCTCATGGTGGAGGTTTGGCATCAGTCAGAATGGAATTAATTCTGCTACTGCAAGAATCTCAGCAGGTATGTGGGAGAGCTTAGCTTGTGTTTTCTCTGCTTTAAGTTTTTTTACAGATTTTTTGGAATGTGCTTAATATTATTTTGAAGTTTTCCTACAGTAGTATGTACCTGTTCTGTATAAATAACAATGCTTTTTGCATACTACATTTTCTCTAGGTTATGGGGATTTTGTTGTTTAGAATCCCCTTCTTTCAAATGTTCTGTTCCCTTTAGGAATCTGTACTATCACTTTATATGTGTTTTTTGCCTTTTTTTAGGAGCAGTCAATACAGATACCTTCCAGCCCTCTGCCAGATCAGAGTTCCATACCTCTCCTATTTGCTTGCACAGCAAGTGCCAAAACAGTGGTGGCTAATCCATTGTTACATCTTGGTAACTTAACTCATGATATATTGCACTCCATAGTAAACCTTGATTCACCACCTCATCCAGATAGTCAGAACAACAAGGTATGTGTTTCTTTTACTTTTGGGGGTTTATTGCTGTCATCACTGTTAAATTTGCTAAAAAAATAAATCTCTTCTGAAAGCATGAAAACTTTCTGGTGTTCATACCTGTGAAAAGTCATAAAACTGTGGAATATAAGTATTTTCTGTAGTAGTTATCTTGAGCTAAAATAATGTCCACTGATTTTTACTTATTGTTGAGGTGCTGAGCATCTGCTTCAACAGCTGAATTAAATTGTCCTCTCTTGGGACTGGATATTTGTCCAAGATGACATCTGTTACGGGAAACATGCTGTATTCCTACACTATCAGTGTCATGTTTGTCTTTATGACAGTATGACCATTATTTCTTTTACATTAATGGTAAACCGTGCTTCAGTCCTAAACCTAAGTAAAGATAAGTTTTTAAATATACAAACTAATTGTCATCAAAGTGCAGTAAACTCAAGACTTCTTTTTTTGTGTAACAGTATATACGTTCATACAGTCAAATAGAGTCTGGGTTTTTAAAGTTATGTCTCTGTAAGACATCTTCTATATGCAGCCTTGGACTGGAAACCAAAACTTAAGGTGTTAGGTTAAATTTTTCCTGAACTTTTCTAAGTGTTGGGTCCCAAATCATGTTTGCTTTTACTAGGGATTCCTTAGAGAACACTCAAGAGATTGCTCAGTTCCTAGTCAGTGCTTCTTTTCAGAGCAAACAGAAAAATAAGTATAATAAACTCATTTCTAGAAATAAGCTGTGTTGTAATTTTTGTTCTGAAGTTAAACCTTTGTATTCTGAACCAGAACATTGCTGCTGTCTTAGTGTATAGTTACTCATGACTGTTGTGTAGAGGTTTAACATGTTGCTATTTCTTAATTTATAATGTTGTTTCTTAATTTATAACATTGCTGTTACAGCTGATCTGTCATTATGGGTTGGTGGGCTGAATGTGTGCTTCCCCATCCTTATTGCAAAGTGATTTAATATATCTGAAATGAGTTCTGAAGAAAAGGTTCTGGAGTTTTGCCATAAATACTTACACTTTCCATGTTCAGTGCTTGTTCCACTGTTACAAATCTGTATGCATGAAAGGCTGTGATTACTAATCACTGTTCGAGTGTAATATGTTCTATAAAAACTTTCTTACAGATATATGTAATGCATACCTTAGCAGCATCACTCTCTGCCTGCATCTACCAATGTCTTTGTGATGGTCACAGCTACAGGTAAGGGCCTATGAAAGGTACTTTTTAGAGAATGGTCAACACATTGTCTTACTGTAGTGATGTTATAATATGTAGTGCATCAGAAGGCAGTGCTCACACTTGCCTACATCTAGAAGAAAGGGCTATCACTTAAATAGTTTTAAACATCACTTTTTTCTTTATTTTTTCTAATACCTCATCCCACTTTTCTGTTTCACAGCTCATTTCAAGCAAACCAGTTCACTGGAACAGTGTATCAGACAGTGCTATTAACTCAGCGCCGTTCTCTAAGAACATCAAGCTTAGAAGAAACAGTGACTCCCAGTACATCACCTGCTGAGTGGCCAGGTATCTGGCATTGGTTTGTTTCTTTACCCTTAAGGAAAAATTGGCTGGATCTGCTATAAGAGCATGTAGCTGTGCTCTGGACTTTCTAGTAGTATTCATAAAAGCTGCATGGTAAAAGTAATTTCTTACAATAAAATTTTATCTTCATTTTTCAAAAGCTGCAAGCTAGTACCTCTAGTTATTCACAAAGTCAAAATTACTTAGATTGCTTTCTCTTGCTAAAAAATGCTAGTGGGGCTCTCACAAAGGGCAGGTAAACAAAGCGGAGTGGAGTCCTGTGCTGTACTTGCTTCCTCTGGTGGCACCAGGTGAGTCTCGCTGTTACTCCATTTCACTTGGGAAGGACTTGAAAGACTATCTTAGTTTGTGCTCCTTCTCAGAATGGTTGTTGCTTATGTACAATTTTTGAACTAACTTGAAACTATCGAAAATGACAAGTTTATAATGAGTTGTGCTCTTAGGTAGCTGTAAAAGTTCAAGGTTGCAGCTAATTACAAAGAATTACTTCAAGTAATCGTCAGTGTGTGCTGGAGTTTATGTTAGTGAAGCTACACTGGTCACATTAAAGGGAGTGTAAACTATGTAATACATGCCTATATGGGCTTCAGTTTACATGACTAATGTGTTTCCAAGAAACATGCTTTCAAATTATGGCGTTTCTTTTTTCAGTAAGAATATTTCACATAAAGAAAATCTTTTAGAGAACCTTAAGCAGTCTTTGTGGTGATGCTCCACTGTTGATTTTTTTTCTGCATAATATTCTATCACTGAATCTACAGATTTTAGAAAGAAATCAGGTTGTCACCTGTTTTCTCCTTATTTCATTAGTCGCAGAGTTAAATTTCTGAGACAAGGGATTGTTAGCAATTGTGCTTACAGGTGACATTACCTTGAACTGTTTTTCTTTTTAAAGCTTCCCATGATTTATGTGCAAATGGCAGAATATGACACAAAACATAGTTCTTTGGCCACCGCTATTTGTATTTTCATTTAGGTGCACAAAGTAGCATAGTCAGAGCCAGATCTGAAAATCTACAGCGATTGTTGGGAGCATAAAAACCCTGTAAGATACTTAGTACTTGGGTGAAAGGACGCTTGTCAGAAAATGTATAGTTCAAGTTCATGCCCATGATTTTTAGTTGATTTTTACCACTGTAAAGTGAAAATCTTAACATTTCAACTTCCAGTGTTACACTGGAGTTACAAACCAAACTGGTGAAACAAGCGCCACAAGAAAGTCAGTGAGAAATTAGTATTTTAAATATAAGATTTGGATGTTATGTACTGAATATACTGTAAGGCGAAGTAGAGAATAGTAAAAAGCTAACTCCCTACTCAAAGAATTAAAGAGAGAGCTTGAGACATGGGGGGAAGATTCATCTAAGTAATGGAACCAAATGTATCATAGAGTTTCAGTAACAGGGAGTTGAACTAAAGTTGCCAGGTTTTTAAGATATATCCCCAAATTTTAATGGTTTTGTGTGATTCCCCCCCTTATCCTTGAAAAGTTGCGATGTATTTCTGTAACTGTTAGTCCAAAATATGAAGCTGAAAAGCTATAATAAACTGTTGAAAAGAAACAGCATGTCACTTTGTGGAGTTTTCAATTTCCTCTAAACAGTAGAATTTTTCTACAGTAGAAGTTACTAAATAATACAAGTTTGCCAGTTAAGATACCATGATAAACTGGAATATGTTCACACACATATATATGCTGTTGTTTTTTTCTCCCCATTTCTTTTTTTTTTAAACAGGAATAACAGCTCTAATACGTCTCTTGAATTCTGCTGGTGAGGAAGCTCAGCCAGGTCTCACGGTTCTACTCTGTGAAATTCTAACTGCAGTATACCTGAGTCTGTTCATTCATGGCCTAGCCACACATTCTAGCAATGAATTGTATAGAATTATGGCTCATCCACTTAACAATAAGATGTGGTCTGCTGTCTTTGGAGGAGGAGCTCATACACCCAGCAGAGGACAATTTCAATTAAAGACAAAACCTGGTTAGTTGTGTTTGTTTATGTATATTTGTTTTCTGGATCTCTTAAGAAAATGATGTGACTGCTGAAAGCTTAAGAGTAATTGCTTTAAGTAGTTCATGTTCAGTAAAAATTCAGTAAAACTGGTGTAGATACTGTGTAGAATAGTGTAGGAAACAGAAGTGAATCCTTCCAAGTAGCACAACTGCTGTAATGCGATGAGATGAAGTTAATCTTAAAGAGAAAATTTTCAATACTGTTGCAGCCTCGTTTTTAATGCTAATATTTAAGCTTTCCAATTCTCTCATAACAGGAATATATTCCCATTTTACAAATACAGTATGTTTTCTCTCTTTGGCAGGTAGGCACTTCCCAATGCCTAGCCCACATCAGGTAGTAGTGTTCTCCATGGAATGTGTGGGGTTTTCCAAATCCCTTGCCACCTTCAGTACTCATAGTCCTACCAAATTTTCAGGCAAGATACGAGATTTAGTACTAGGCCTTTACATGCAGTTTGCTATGTGTGATTTTTTTTTTTTTTTTTGCATATGTAGAAAGACGGAAAAACTTCTGTTTGCAAGCCATGACATCAAATTCAATGTGATTTTTTTTTAATTAAAGCAGCAGTTGAATTTGGTCTTTTTTTTTTTTTTAAATTCAGTGGTGGTGTAGTTTTATTACACTTAATTTGAAATCAATATTCAATGTAAAATTACTTTGACCATGGTTTGAAAGGATCAGAAGTGTTTCGTATCTTTGTTGGAAAGCTGCTTGTTTTGCTTTTTTAATATAACCATTATGATGCATGTGGATTTCTAAGTGTTTGTCCTAGACATTACAAAGAAAAGGTGTCTTGTTGCTACTCAGTTTGGTAGTCTAAGAAGGCTTTAGGAAAGCAAAGGATCCTCAAGTTCTGTATTCAGATGATTGCAAATTATCATAAGGCCCAGAATTAATTCTGTAATGCTTTTCTTTTTGGCATAGATTTCTGCTTTATAATTTAGTTGGACTTCTAGAAAACCAGGAGCAATGTTCCTACAGATAGTTTTAAAGAGGAAGATTTAGTGAAGATAAATTTATTTAAGCTATGGTGACTTAGTATATCACATCTGAACATATATATAAAATGTAATTTAAACTATATTTTTTGTTATATCATTGCTATTAGATGTATGCTATATATAAAAGTGTCTTACCTTGCTTTTAAGGCAAACTGAAAATGTAGTCTATTTAAATACAGACTTTGTCAGACATTACTCTGAAAATACTTTTCTAAGAGATCTTTAATCAAAATTGAGTTCCTGTTCTAGATCTGATGAGTTTTCACTGTGGTATTGAATAAATATTTCTCATTATTACTTTAAAGTAAATATATTTGCCATATCGGAATTGTTGGAAGCTATAACTGGCTGTTGCCAATTCAAAGTTTCCTAGGTGCTGGTAACTGTATACTGAGTTGTATCAATGCTGCTGCTGTTTTAAAACGATAAAATAATTGTCTTTACATAGAACAGTGTTTTGAAATGTATACTGAATTCCTCCATAATGTATATTTTTCTTAAAAATGAATGCTAGGTGTTTGATCACAGAGTTGGTAAAACTGTTGCTGGAAGAATCAAGATGCTGAAACTGAAAATTTGGGGGAAGAAAGGACCTTTTTGAATTCTAACTTTTAGTAATAATTAAACACTGGAAGAGAGCTTTAGAGGGGTTGTGGAGTTTCCATCTTTGGGGTTATGCAAGACATGAACAAACTAGGTAGTCACCTAAATTAGCCCTGTTCTGAGGAAGGGGTTGGATCAGGTCCCTTCGAACTTACGTAATCTTTCTTTTAGACAAAAACTGAATAACAGGAATATAAAAATAGTTCCTGGTAGTCTTGGAAAATCCTGACTTTTGTTAGGAATTATTCTGAGTAAAAAAAAAAACATCAGTTTATTGCCTTTTTCACAGTAAAGCTCAAATAAAGCACAGCAGTTTGAATGCTTTTTAGAGCTGCCTAACATGTTATACTTTCCAGCTGTGTTTCTTGGTTTTGTGGATATGTTTTGACAAACTGAATTAGCATTTGAAAATTTACATTATTTCTTAATACTACAGATGTTTTGTTTATAAAGAGGCAATTAACACCTGAAAAATAACCCTATTGTTGATCATAGTAGTTATTTTCAGAATCATATTTACCATATAGTTTATCTTCAAAACTGCCTCAGAAAGCTTTTTCATAACTGAACTCTATATAGAGATGGTAGGTTTTCTGTAATCTGGAGTTTTTTTAAGGAAAAGTTTGAGTTTGGCTTTACCAGTTAGAAATCCATAATCCCATTTCATACATTCAATTATTCCATGCTACAGGAGTAAATTAAATGCAGAACTACTTCCTAAACTTGAGTATTTTACAAGAACACTCTATAGACTCAAAGTTGTCATTTTGGGTTTCAGATGTAGAAAATCAGAAATCTACTAATACTTGACTATTACGACAAGGTATTTTTCTCCACTGTTTGTCCTAACTTCCCAAGCAATTAAAAAGAAAGTTTTAACAGAAATTATTATTTCTGAGTACTTTGGTAGAGAGAAATATAAACATTCTCGGCTGTTCCTTTAACCAGTTTTGCCTAACATGCCACAGGTTTTGAGAAATAGATGCCTTGATAATGAGGACATGCATGTAAAATTTATCCATACATGGATAAATTTTAGCAGGATGTGCAGTTCTGCTGTCATCTTATGCATGCATTTCTTGTTAGATCCTCTGAATTAATTTGTAGCTTTTGCTTGCTGATGACCACCTAGAAAACATACTTCTTAACAGATTTTCATTAATCTTAACATTGTTTAAAGTAACAGAGCATCTAAGTGGAACGTGAATGTAGCATTTGGCCAATTTTGCTTAGGCAATTGTAAAGAAAATCCAAACCCTTGGTACTCTTGCATTTATCTGCTTGCTGTACCTACTATTGAGTAGGTTTGATCCAGAATCTAAAACAAAATAACAACAACAAAACCTGAACTTGCATTAGTGATGCTTTGGACTAGAAGCTTTCTGGTTTGGACTTCCAGCGTACTACTATGTACCTGCTACTCAGGCTCACCATCAAATCAGAAACAACAGTAAAAATCTTCTATTTAGACTTTGTCTCCAGGCATGGCTTAATCTCAGAAGATAGATTTTAAAAAACATAATAATTTTTATATTTTTTTTTTAATCATTTTTTTAAACCTTCCAACTTGTGTAAGACTTACAACAGCCATGCTGAACTGCTCCTTTTTAATGCAGAATTCCCTATGATATTATCAGTAATGGAAACTTTGACATCAGTGTGAGAATAATTGTCTTAAATTCTAACTCAGAATTAGAGACTGCAACGGTGGGCTCATTTTCTAATGGTACTTTGGAGTACTGCATACTTCATTAACTTTTGTGGCCTTTCTATTCTACATTGAAGTCGTTGTCTTCTCACCATTACTGTCATATTCTTAGTTAAGTCAGCCATTAAAACAGTGTTTGCACTGTGAAAGATAGAGGGTTTTTTTATGGCTCAGTAGAAGAAACCTTAGAATATATACTCTCTTTCAGCTTTTCAGTGATTTGCAGTAGTCATTAGTAGAGCATAAGTATAACAAAAACTTTACAGTCTTGGTCACATACAGTAATCAAACTCTAGCTTAATTGTAGTTGCTGATGTTGAGTGCTAATTCATTAAGTTCATCACCTTGGCCACACAAGCTATTGCCCATGAGTAAGCAGAACATCATGTTGAAAATTTCGGGATTAGTAACCTTACAAAAAGCAAATTCCTTTTAGATTTAAAGTCAAGATGTCCAGTAGTGTAGATTTTCACCACGCTGTTGTTTCTGTTGGCTTTCATGGCTTCCCAAAGAATTAGATATCTTTTCAGGGCTTTACATTTGCTAAAGTGATTTGAGATGTGATAAAAATCAGTATTTCTTTGTCATGTCTCTATCATTCCACTCTGTTCTAGGCTTCAGCAGTGCTGATCCTTGTTGATGCTTGCAGTCAGGGGTGATGCTGTCTGTAACTTTACATCTCTTAATGAAGAATGGCATTTTTCATTGGGTGTTGGGGTGTTGAAGCTTTGTGCCTGTATAGAGCCTTCAATAAAATAGAGCAACTGATTTGTTTTTTAAGTTATGGGGAAATTGTAAGAGATCTGCCTTTTAGGTCTTCTTGGGAAGGTGGAAGGAAGGTGACATGGGCAACAGGCTTTTTGAATATCACTGCATGTGTTAGATCTTGGCAGAAATAGAAGCATTTTCCATATCTGAAAAATTCCAATATTCACAGAAAATAAGACAAATTTTCCATTTGTACCAAAGATAAATGTTTTGAATGCAAAAAGCGTGTAAAAATTTTAACTAGAAATATGAGAAATTTGAAAGTGAATATAATTGGTAATCTGAAATCCCAAATGACAAAGTTAGATTTAATGATTTTTCTTAATTTATTCAAAGATTTTTAGAATGAAAAGAAAAAGCATTAGTAGTACTAAATTTCAAACCATTTAGGAGGTTGTACTTTCATTTGTCCTAAATATTGATTTATTTTTTTGCAATGACTAGCCTGCAGTATTCTTAAAAATGCCAAGAATAATCCAACAGAATGAAAAAAGTACTGTTTTAAAATAATTTGCTTTTTCAATTTTGTTTAGAAAAACAACCTGCAAGCATATACTTGCTTATTTCTCTATCATGCAACACTTGCTCCTTCTTTCATGCTCAGTGAATTTCTCCTTTTTTCTTTTTTTTTTTTTAAGCAATTGCTAAAATTTTGTAGTGATGCATGTGCATGCTCTTTCTTAGCTGATGAACTTTAGATAATGAAATGAAAATGCATTTTACTGCAGCTATTATATTTGCAACTTTTAGTACAGGTAAGTGGATTTCAGTAATATCCTTAACAGTGTGTGTGTGAAAATCACAATAATAGTGCAAAAAAGAATTAAAATACCCAAATTTCAAGATGAAAGATAAAATATTGTCTTCAGGTTTTATTAGCTTCTATATATAAATGATTTATCAGCAGCCTTCCAGTAGGGAAGGGGGCATATAGGGATGCTGGGGATGGACTCTTCATTAGGGACTGTAGTGATAGGACAAGGGGTAATGGGTTAAAACTTAAACAGAGGAAGCTTAGATTGGGTATAAGGAGGAAATTCTTTACTGTGAGGGTGGTGAGGCACTGGAATAGGTTGCCCAAGGAGGTTGTGAATGCTCCATCCCTGGTAGTGTTCAAGGCCAGGTTGGACGAGGCCTTGGGTGATATGGTTTAGAGCGAGGTGTCCCTGCCCATGGCAGGGGGGTTGGAACTTAATGATCTTAAGGTCGTTTCCAACCCTAACCATTCTATGATTCTATGATTTTATAGCTCACTTCTCCTATGAAGGAAGGCTGAGAGAGTTGGGTTTGCTTAGCCTGCAGAAGAAAAGGTTCAGGGGAGATCTTAGTGCAGCCTTACAGTACCTAAAGGGGCCTACAAGAAATCTGGAGAGGGATTTTTTACAAGGGCAGGTAGTGACAGGATAAGGGGGAATGGCTTTAAACTGAAACAAGCAAGGTTTATGTTAGACATTGGGAAGAAATTCTTTACTGTAAGGGTGGTGAGGCACTGGAACAGGTTGTCCAGAGAAGCTGTGGCTGCCCCATCCCTGGCATGTTCAAGGCCAGGTTGGACAGGGCTTTGAGCAATCTGGTCTAGTGGAAATGTTGCTGCCTGTGGCATTGGGGGTGGAAAATCTCTTCAAAGGTGTGGGGTTTTTTCTGGTCTAAAAATAACCAGAAATGATGAAAAATTCCATCAGCCACTGTGAATAAAGAGCGTTTTCCCATTAAAAAAAAAAAAATCATCATAGTTATAAGGTAAAAAAAGCCAACCCAAACCAGCAAAGTATTTTTTTAAAAATCAACTTAAAATTTATCTCCCTCAGGGTTCACAGTTGGTTCAGTTAGTGTTACAAGCATGTAAGTCTTATGTGTGGAATATAACTGTTCCAAATGAGCAGTTTTTCTCTTGTCCAGAGTGTTAGACCTTCTGTTTTCAAGTGATTGAAGTACCCAAAAGAGTTTTGAAGGGAATAGTCTTTCAAACGTCTGTCAAGAGTCAAAAGTCTCCTTTAGATAAGACACATAAACAAACCAACAGAAAAAAAAGGTATAGGAAGTATTTCTTTGTTAGTAGTTCACTTGTGGCACATAGGCCCAGCATAGATGTTGGTTCTTTTTGTGCCATCCCCAGCAGTGTTAACTGGACAAAGTAATTTCACAGGTTTCAGTGGAAGTTGTTTCTGTGGGTCCTTAGAAGTAGAAGGGAATAAGGAAAGCTAAATTAATAAAGCATCAATTTGCGTTTGTGATGTTCCTATTAGTTCATCCTTGCAACCAGTCTGGACCAACATGTTGATGCTCAGTGATAGTCAGGTCTTCTAGCCTGCACATTTGCTTTCTTGGAGCCTGTCTATTACTGCTGTCACATCAGCCAAAGCCTCAAATCATAATGCAACCCATATTCCGCTTACTTAAGACCTGTTTAGATGAGGTCTTTTCTGGCTAGCTTTCTGCTCTCATTATTGATCTATACAAAACAAAAGCCTGTTTAATTAAACAAGAAACAGCCAATTTTTTTTGCTGTACTCTTCTTCCCCACACCTAATTTAAAAAAAAAATAATTTGCCACACCTAATTAAAAAAAAAAGTGGTGGGGTGGAACTTGCATGTGCTCAGTGATTCCTTTGGATGATGTCATTGGTTTTCAAACCTTACATGGAAAAGGGAGATTTTGAGGTGCTTAAGAAAAAAATAAATGTTCAGTAGTTGGTTACATAATTGTGGAAAGTATTGAGAACTTCAAAAGGCAGTTCAGAAAATTGACTCCCTTTTTATCTTAATGTTTTAGCTTTCTTTGTTTTACCTACATCTTGGACCCATTCAGTTGTTTCACAATAGCAACTCATCCCCATGCATTGCATGTGCATACTTGAAAATAAAAAACAGATTTCTTTTTCATGTGACTCCTTTTAAAAAGGCAGTCTCCATCTTCTCTGTAGCTATCCTTTAAATACTGGAACATGGGGATAAGGTGTCTCCTGAGCTGCCTTTTCTCCAGGCTGAACAAACCCAGGTCTCTCAGGCTTTTGTTGTGCAGCTTCCCAGCCCTTCGATCATCTTCCTGGTCCTTCTCTAAACACATCTTTTTTGTATAGCAGGGACCAAAACTGGACACAGTATTTCAGATGTGGCCTGACAAGTGCTGAGTGGGACAATTACATCTTTATCTCTGCTGATGATGCCCTTGTGGGTGTAACCCTACATCCTTTTGGCCTTCATTGTTGATGTTGATGTAATCCAGCATCCTGTTGGCTTTCTTTGCTGCACACCCATAATGAGCTGGTTGTCCATTAGGACCCCCAGGTCCCTTTCCACAGAGCTGCTTTCCAGCCAGGCAGATCCCAGTCTGGTGCAATCCTGGATTGTGTTTTCTCAGGACTTAAACTTACACTTGTCCTTGCTGAACTTCATAAGGTTCTTGTGAGCCCACTCTTCCAACCTATCCAGGTCATCCTTCAGGGTGGCTTTCCTCTCTGAAGCATCCAGTTCCCCATGCAGTTCAGTATCATTGCTGAACTTCATCAGGGTACATTCAATCCCATCTTCCAAATCATTTATGAAGACACTGAACAACACTGGGCCCAATATCGATCCCTGGGGGATCCCATTAGTGACAGGTCACCAGCTGGAAAGGAAGCTGTTCACTACAGTCTGGGTGCAGCCAGTCAGCCACTTCACCCCCCACTGCCCAGTCCATTCATTGAGACCATAATGCATGAGCTTCTGTAGGAGAAGGATGAAAACCTGGAGAAATCCAGGTAGACATGTCCACTGCCCAAACAGCATCAGCTGAGCAAATTACTTTGTTGTAGAAGGTGATCAGGTTTATCAAGCACAGTTTGCCCCTAGTGAATTGGTGCTGGCTTTTCCCGATCACGTGTTTGATTTGACTTACGATAGCCCCATATGGAGGGTTTATGAAGGATTCACTCCATACTCTTCCTAGGAACCTTCCGTATTTGCTGGAGAAATACATTCTCAGGGCATACAGATTTATTGAAATTGTACAATCTAGAAAAAAGTACACACTTCTGTGGAAGGAGATGTGGAGTTGAAACTTGGATTAGGAGTGACAGTCTTGAATATTTGCAGTATGAATTATGAAAGACAAAATCCATACCTGGTCTTAAAAACCAAGCAAAATCGGCATTCAGTAATGCTTATTAAAGTAATTTAGTTTTGCAGTATTGTTGCTCAAGCAACAATGTCATCTTTGTTAGGAAGAATGCTTCTCCCACAGTTATGGGTGTATTCTACTGTACTATTTGGGGGGGGGATTTTACCCTTCTAGAGTTCTAGTTATATATTAGTTTTGCAAATTTGGGGATTAACGTTGTCTGTGCTTATTTGCTACTCAAATGTTAAGATAAAATTCTGAAAAATATAACAAGGAATTTTTTTATTTTCCATTATAAACCCCTTTATTAAAAACAGTAGGGAGGAAGAGCAGACAATTTAAAGCAACATACTGTATTTTCTTCCTCTGTAGATGATGGAGAGAAACAGCAAAAACGTTACAGACTGTCATCAGAAACGTCTCCAAAAGAGAGTTCTCAGTTGCCTGCATTGTCATTGGTAGACCAAGAATCTCCGTTTTACAAAGAAAGATTTATTCCTCCTGAGCTTAGCATCTGGGATTATTTCATTGCGAAGGTAATTTTTTGCTCTTATGACAGTTAATTTTCTCCTGTCACTTGTGGAATGATGATTTTGTTTTTTCTTAGTCTTTATTCTAGGTATCAATTTACATGTGTGATAAGCTGCCTGTTTTTATTACTTATCTTTAGCTTTTTCTAACACACTGACTGTAGGTATTTTTGAAAGAGCTGTTTTAAAAACTGTTGTTACAAAATAAATTTGTTTTCAGATAATTGTATGAACAAAACATTGCTTTTTACAGTTGCAGAATATAAATGTATAGTTAATTATGGATCAGATATTTAGATGAACAGGGAAATGTGAGTAGCTTTTTATGTCTGTTTCAAATAGGTGAAATGAATATGTGTACTTACTAGAAATCAAATTACGTTGTCATTTGTCAAGTCTGCTGTGGCAGATTTTCCTTTGTAGAAAGCTACATAATTGCACGGAGTTGTATGGTACATTTCTGTATTAAATATTAGCAATATGGAGCTGTTGGAGCAAGTCTAGAGGAGGGCCATGAGGATGATCAGGGGGCTGGACCACCTCTCGTATGAAGATAGGCTGAGAAAGCTGGGGCTGTTTGGCCTGGAGAAGAGGAGGCTGCATGGAGACCTCATAGCAGCCTTGCAGTATCTGAAGGGGGGATCTACAAGGATGCTGGGGAGGGACTGTTCGTTAGGGACTGTAGTGGTAGGACAAGGGGTAATCGGTTCAGACTTAAACAGAGGAAGTTCAGGTTAGGTATAAGGAAGAAGCTTTTTACTGTGAGCGTGGTGAGGCACTGGAACGGGTTGCCCAAAGAAGTGGTAAATGCTCCGTCCCTGGCAGTGTTCAAGGCCAGGTTGGACAGAGCCTTGGGTGACATGGTCTGGTGTGAGGCATTCCTGCCCATGGCAGGGGTTTGGAACTAGATAATCTTAAGGTCCTTTCCAACCTTAACTGTTCTATGATTCAGTATCAGGAAAAAAAATACATAAGCAGTAATTTAGGAGAAAGGAAATACAAATGTTTAATAACTCAGTGACACCCTGATAGTGGGCTTGTAAATGTTGAACACTATAGTCTGGGGATAGGATTTTCTTGTTGTTTAGTCCTTTGAGCCATTAGAAGAACTACAGAATATACACTGGGGGTTTTGGCTTCTCTGACAAATAACAAGTTTGTGTGTTCTATTTGTTATTTGATATATCTGATGTGAATCTAAAGCAAAATATAAATTGGAAAACTGCTAGTAATTTCATTGTCAGCATTCGTGTTTTGAGTCATGTAAAAGCTGTTAAAGTAGGCAATGCTCATGGACAGTTACCCTCTCATGACGTACAAACTCCAAATGTTATTAACTGTAAGATATTCTGCTTTTTTTGTAAAAGGCATTAGAGATTATAATGGTGTATTTTGTAAAAGGCATTAGATATTATAATGGTGTATTTTGTAAAAGGCATTAGATATTGTAATGGTGTATTTTTTAAAAGATAATTTAAAACTAAATATTGGTAGAAGATACTCAATGAATATTGTTTAAATTTTTAGCCTTTTCTTCCATCACAAAGTAGAGTGGAATATGATTCAGAAGGAAGTCAGGAAAGTGGTGAAGATGATGAAGATATTGATGGAGATGCGTTTGCATCAAATTCACATAATCAAGAGCATTCTAATTCAAATTCATACAGGTAAATAACTCTTCAGAATGAAAGATATTCTGTAATCGCTAGACTTGCATTTCTGGCCTTTTACTTTTGAGATAATCATGGCAGTGCATTATCCAGACTTAGTAGGTAGTATTTCACAATAATAATAATTTGATTAATACTTGGTATAGTGACTTCTGAATTCAGATTAATTATAGTATTCTGAAACGTGGTTTGTAGTTTTCAGCAATTTATAATGAGGATTTAAAGCTCTAAATTTAAATCCTAACGATGACTAAATGAGAAATTTATTTTCCTATTAGTAAATGACTTACTAGTGCTTTCTTGTTAGTTGGTCACTGATGAGATTGGCAATGGTTCAGCTGGTTCTTCACAATTTGAAGACTTTCTACCCTTTGGTTGGACATGATCTTTCAGGTAATAAGCAGCAGAGTTGTCTTTTTATACTTAACCACACTTAAAATCAGTAATGTGTTGAATAATATGTATGGCATAGCTTTATTTATAGCTCAAAAGTTCTTAATCTTTTTATGATCTTGGAATAATATGTATCACATAAGTATGTCTATGAAATGAAATGATGGGTGGACAAGATGTCTGTGTGAGAAGAAATACTCAGTAGTTAGCAGAAGTCTGCATACGTAGGGTTTTTTTTTGCCTGTTAGTTGAACAAGAATGTTTGCAGTATTTACTTCTTGGTGAAAACCTTACTTTTTTTTGTAGTTCAAGTTACATTATTCCCTTTTTTGTAGAATTGTGGAATAGTTTGTGTTGGAAGAGACCTTTAAAGAGAGGTCCAACCCATCTCTCATGGGCAGGGGACATCTTTCACTAAATTGTGTTGCTCAAAACACCATCTAACCTGGCCTTAAACACTTTCAGGGATGGGGCATTTGCAAATTCTCTGGCAACTTGCTCCGGTTTCTCACTATCCTCATCGCAAAAAAAGTCTTTCTGTCTAATCTAAATCTACTCTCTTCTAGTTTGAAACCATTATTCCTTCTGCTGTCAGTACAGGCCTTGGTGAAGTCTTTCTCTATTGTTCTTGTAAGTCCGCTTTAAGTATCGAAGTAAGGTCTCCCTGGAGACGTTCTTCTCAAAGCTGAACAACTCCAACTGTGTAAGCCTTTCTTCATAGAATGGGTGTTCCAGCCTTCTGACATGCTCTGATAGGTCCATGACTAGCTTGTACTGAGGACCCCAGAGCTAGATGCAATATTCCAGGAAAGGTCTCATGAGAATAAGTAAGAGGGGGTGAATCACCTCCCTCACCCTACTGGATGCCCATCTTTTTATGCAGCCCAGGATGCGATTTGCTTTCTGGTCTGCACATGCAAATTTGCTTCCTCAGGTACAGTTTTTCATCACTGGTATCCCTAAGTCTTTCTCAACAGGGCTGCTCTCAATACCTTCCCCCCCACCCGCAGCTTGTATTGCTGGGGGTTACCCTGAGCCAGGTGCACTTGTTCTTGTGAATGAGCTTCAGGAGGTTCCCAAGGGTCCCACTCCTCAAGCCTGTCAAGGTCCCTCTGAGTGGCATCCCTTCACTCTAGTAAGTCAACTGCATCACTCATCCTGGTGTTATCCGCAAACTTGCTGCACTCACTACCATTGCCTGTATCATGACCAAATATGTTGAAGAGACGGATCCCAGTATGCACCCATGAGGGACGCCACTTGTTGCTGATTTACATTTTACATAGAACCATTAATTCAAACTCTTTGATGCAGTCATTCAGCCAGTTCCCTTATCCATCAAATAGTCCACTCATCAAATCCATATTGCTCCAATTTAGAGATAAGGATGTTGTGTGAGACCATGTCAAAGGCCGTACAGAAGTCAAAAGTGAAGGACATCAGTTGCTCTTCCCTTGCCCACCAGTGCAGGCAGTCCATCATAGAATGCTACCAGGTTAGTCAAGCACAATTTGCCCTTTCTGAAGCCATACTGGTTTTCTCCTGTCAGCTGCCTATCATCCACATGCATTGACATAGCTTCCAGGAGGATCTGTTCCATGATATTTAATACGTCAGCACTGGAGAAGTCTGCTCCCCTCTTTAGCACAGAGCAGTTCATTTTTTATTTTTTTTTTTTAACTTGCAAATACCAAGTTGAGATTTGAATAAAGCTTATTTTTGGAGATATTTGAAGTACACTTCAGCCTTCACCTCTGGAATTATCTTTTGTCAAGGTTATAATGAAGAAGGAAGGGTTTTTTATTATTCTTGTTTTTTTAGAGCTTCCAGTTAGCTCCCCAATATGCCATGCAGTGTTGAAAACACTACAGCGCTGGGAACAAGTTCTTCTCCGACATCTTGAGCTATATGGGGGTCCACCTCAACATTATATTTCAGTTCGTGCTTCTGAAGATATCCTAGCTGCTGGTCCTGCATTGCTTCGCCACAAAACTTTACTTGAGCCTACAAACACTCCATTCAGGTGTGCCTAATTTCTATAAACAGTGACTGTGGTATCTTTAATATACTATTAATGCATGTGATAAACCATAACTTTGAAAACAATATAATTCCAGTTTCTGGAATTGTGGATACACATCAGAACTCGTATACCAGTTGTCCAAAGCAAGATTGGGAAAAGAAAATCATGGGTTACAAATTTTTAAAGTTCTTTTATTGAAGCTGAATGTACTGGATTTGATATCTCTGTGGAAGAACTATGGTTCACAATAAAATAATAGCAAATTTGCAAATTTGCCCTGAGAGCATGAGTGAAAATGAATTAAATAATCGGCCTGTCTCTGGAAGGAACAGAAGTATGTACTTACCAATATCTTATCATAAAATCAGAGAAGAGATATTTACTCTTTATAATATTTGTGTAGCTGTGACTTCACCTAGTTGCATGTTCAGCCAGAAAAGTGTGCTCAGTTTCTTAAACTGTCAGTTTTAAATAGATTTCTCTTTTTTTTTTTTCCCCTAATAATGCTATCACCTGTGGTTGCAGAATCAACAGAAAGTTTGTCTTTCTGTTGTAAAATACCACACAGTTGTCGCCATTTTAGTAACTTGAGTTGATTAAAAAGGAGCAGTTTAACATGTATATGCTGGCTGGCATTGTTTTTAAATTGTGATTAAAGTGATTCAGGGTTTGATATTTTTTGGCCTAATATAACCAGTTATATTTGTATTTACAGTTATGCTTGAATATACAGTTTCTATGGATAAGCGTAAATATTTGAAGTCTGATCTGATTCTACAATCCTTCCAATTTTGTTACTGAAAAGTCGTGATTGTTTCAGAGATGCTATGTAATTGGTGTGTTCCTAGCAGGAAGTGTTAGTCATTCATTTTCCATATGACTGAAGTACTTATTAGCAATAAACAAAAATGATCCATATTGTAAAGAATGAGGTGGGCTAACAAATTATCTTTATGATGACCTTATTGTTCTGTAATCTCTTGAAGAGATTTTTCTCACTTGTCTCAAGGTAGGAGGTATAAATGCTACATGTTCTTTTCTCTTTTGCATTTCATCTCACGCATAGGTTTGCCAGGAAGATGGTACCAGAATGCTTCTGAATAGGTCCTGTACAGATTTTAGAGACCTGTAGTTTTGCTTCAGGATGTCTTCTGACTATAACTTGATTAGACTAGAAGATATTGCAGTCTTATGATCGTGATGTAAATATTTATTTTAACTTGGCTCTTTAGATCTAACAGTCATGTTGCACTATCTGTGAAGAGGCTCTGGCAGTATCTGGTTAAACAGGAAGAAGTCCAGGAAACCTTTATCAGAAATATTTTCACAAAGAAGCGATGCCTTAATGAGGTTAGTATCTTATATAAGATGCATAAAATATTGCAGGTCAATCTGTAAGGTTTTACTTATTTGTCTGATCTGTTTACTTTCTAGAGCACAATTAGGTATCCACTTGGCTGTGGCTCTAAATTGTCAGTATTCCATATTGAAAATCTTTGTCCATTGTTTCACTGAAAACAAAAATTGTGTTAAGATTCAATTTTAGTAAGAAAAACAGTTAATATTTCTGTCCCTGATAATTTGTTCCAGTGTCTAGCTGGATTCTGGGTTCCAGAATCAGTTAAATCTTTTAGAGCTGTGGTTCTGTTATGGAGTTTTGTGTTGTTTTGTTTTTTCCCCCCTCTTTCTTCAGTTGCTCTGTTTCTATTTACTCCCAATAACTTGAATGAATCACTTTTATTACAGAAAAATATGGGCTAGTAAAAACATAGGAGAAACAAGATTTGTGCAAGTTCAAAATGCAGGAGAAAGTATTCATGACTAGTAAAGCCATGGCAGCAAAGAGTACAGTGTGAGCTAATCTTTATCCTGGCACAGCTAGAATATTAGCTTGTTTATTTGTGGCTAATTGTGTTCACTGCACACTGCAGTTAAAAGGAAAATTGTTCATTTTTTCTTGTCCTTTAAAAATGTACCATTTCTGTTCATGTCCTGTGTTAGTGCAGCTATGTTGCTATGCTGTATTGAAAGGTATTTGGGAGTATTTCAGACGTGCTTCATATGTTTTCAAATAGAATCATTGGCAGTCTTACATAGCATAGTTGTGTTAGCTATATTTTGTATTCTCGTCACTGATAAAATGGCAGTGGAGATCACTTATTTTTCAGTAAATTATACTTTTGAGATGGTTGAGGTGCTGTTCCAATACAGAATAGGTAAATCAGTGTCTTCTGTACTGAATATAGCATTTAGAATCTGATTACTGCTACTATGTAAAATAAGGGTGTATGTGAATGCAGACATACTGTTGTGTTTCAGTTATTCTGTGTTGGTGTAAACAAAGAGGACTTAAAGCTTTCCTTGATACCTTGCCTGTTATGTCTTATCTATATTTTCTGTTCTGTGGTTGTTCTTTCCTTGGTGAAGTCATTAGAGGAGCACAATGAAACCATGAAAAATTCTGTGGTGGAGGAGCCCATCATCAATAAGGTACACAGTAGTAATGCTCAAGTTAGTTAGACCTTACATCATGAAATATTTCCTTTTTGAAATGGTGCTGATTTGATCTCCCTTAAAATATCTTTGCTAATAAAAAAAGATAAAAATACATTTTTGCAAGAGATTCAGTTAAACTGTTGTTGTTATAGAGCCTATCTGAAGCTAAACGTATCTTAGAAAGCTGAACAACCAGGGAAAAATCTGTTACCAGACTCCACAGCTATACCTGTTGAAGAGCTGAGATTGAGATTTGCCTTTGTGACAAAAAATTAGTAGTACTGTAGGAACGTAGTACATATGGGACCTTTCACCAGTATGAGCTGGCTAGCATAGTTGCCTGTAAATAGAGGTAGTTAACTGAAGTCAGAGCAGTTTGTTAATATGATAGTAGTTTGCTACTAAATTTTTTTGCTGAGCCTTAGTTTTAAGATGGTTGAAAGTCAACTGTGTAACAACTTTATAGTGACTTTCTTGAAAGATGAAAAAGGTATAATATTAGGCCTAGAATTGCAAACACTATATTTTTCAGTATTCTTTTACAAAACTGGTGAGAAGATACAAATGACAAATGAAAACACTGTGGTGTTTGTGGGCTACCTTGTTGTTATTAACTATGCAATAAAACAGTATTAGAAATAAAGTGGAATCAATCTTTTATTATTAGCATCCAAAGTGTGCATGGACTCTCACTGTTTTTTAGCATTCTTAAGCTGAAAAACTTAAGAATGGACAAAGTACTGTGGGTTCTGTGACAAATTACATTTCTGTGTAGCTGTGGTAAACCCAGCATGGCAGTGGGAAGCTACATTATTACACATGAAAGAGGTGTTTGCAGGTTATATTTGTCATATTTTCTTAGACTTAAAATTGAGAAAAGAACAAATGAAATTTCATATGATCTGGTGTTTGGTCTTTGTTCTTCTAGTTAAAAGCTTAGACGTTTGCATTTAAACATTTTTTGCTTTTAAATACAGGTAGAAACAGATACAGGATACCCAGGAAGCAAGGCAAGAATAATCCATAAAGAGTCTGACATCATTACTGCTTTTGCAGTCAATAAGGTGAGTTTAAAGGAGGTAGGATAATCTAATTGTGTTGTACTTCCACCTGATAAACAGTAGTCCTATTGTGCATGGGTGAGAGGTCCTTTACTAGCCATGCTGCTTCAGCTTTAACTCCTAGCACTTCCTTCTCTAAAACACTTTGTAATTATCTTTTCATATTTAAACAGTTCTACTACAGATTGCTTTTTTTTTTCTCTTGTGCAGTGGATTGAGAGAAGGGAGAGGTGGCCTCTACTTTTTTTTTTTTTAAGCTTGTGTGTAGGAGTATTTTTCTTTTTCTGGTGAAGACAACCAGGAATTCATCTTTTCTTCTCCTGTTTAACCATTTAAGCCTTAAGAAGTGGAGAAGAGGAGCTTGGTTGCAAGCATTGTATAGTGACCTCTTGTAAGCAAGAAGAAACTAGAACTGTTTGAGATAGGTGTAAAATACAGATAGCGTGTGATGCTATCCCAGATGTAAATAGACTTTTAGAAAGGAAGTTCCAAGATTAGACAGTTTAAATAGATTTGTAGACATAAATATTTGGGTTTTATAAATTGATTGTGTATGTTTTTGCAACCAACTGTACCATAACAAGAGAAAATCTTTCAAAAAGCACCCTTTTGAGTATTCCTTTTGTAACTGCCTTTGTGTGTGTTGCATTTTTTCCAGGCTAATCGGAACTGCATTGCAATAGCATCGAGTCATGACATACAAGAATTAGATGTTTCTGCAATTTTAGCTACACAAATCTATGCCTGGGTTGATGATGATGTGGAAATAGAAAATAAAGGGTATACTTCTTCTGTTTCTAAAATCACAGCTTGACTGTGTTTAAATTGGTGTAACAAAGCATGGTGTTTGATATTTCTGTTTGGAATCTAACTTATGTTGTTTCATTTATAGGGCTGATGATTTCTTAGTTGTACATGCTCGTGATGATCTGGTAAATGTTCAGGGAACCACTCCCTATACTCATAGTAATCCCGGCACACCTATCAATATGCCTTGGCTTGGTAGTACACAAACTGGCAGGGGTGCATCTGTGGTAAGTTGCTTGTCAAAGATTAGCCTTGTGTACTCTGTCTGCTTCTCTCCTTTTGTTTGCTCAGTGTTGCTGGTTTTATTTTACAGTTAGCATGTAAGTAGATGTTTCTTTTGTGTGTCACCAAGGTGAGCTGGAATTTTTATCTGATTAATAAGTTAAAATACTGCACAGAATTCAAGGTACACGAACTAAGCAAGCCAGACTTTTTAGTGAAGCCATATTTGCTTTCTTAAGATACATTGTTTAAAAATAAAGAATCAGGGTTCAGGTAGGAGTTTGTAGCATAAATTGTTCTCTAATGACTTGAAGCCAATGCTATATCTAAAAAGCATATATTCAGGAGATTTCAGGATGTAAATTTGTAAAGATTGGGTATTTTTGTAAAATACTGAGCTAGATTTTCATTTTAAGTTTCATTCTGAGTTCCAGACTATTCCAGTTTTTATTTAAAAGTAAATACCAACTACTTCTTTAATATAAAGTACCACTGTAATGCACTGTTTACTAGTAGGAGCCTGTATTGTGGAAAGGACAGTGAATGAAATCCTAAAGCAGATTTCACTGGCAGGACAGAGGCTTCGAAAGAAATGAGTTAAACTCTGGAAACTGAGCAGCTTGAACTTGAGGAAAATGGATTCCTTGGTTTTCATAAAAATAGGGAAGCCAGGACTGCAAAAACAGCATCAGCTGCAAACATCATGTGTAGTTTGATCTGCACATCATGCTGATGTATGACTGTTTATCTCCAAAGCTGTTGTCAGCTCTGTTGTCTTTAAAGTACTGTGTAGTTTTGCCATAACCCTGTGTAGCAGCATTATTAAATACCTCACTTCTGAAGATCATGGTTTAGATGAGACAATCAGTTTCACTGCTCAGCATTTCTGAAATACACTAGAGTGAGGGACACCCAGTGAAGTGTGACTATGTCTACATGAGTAAATTGATCCTTCTTTTCATAGAGATGGTATCTCTATGAGCACAAGGGGAGCTCTTACTTTTAGAAATAAATTCTGTCTCTGGGGTGAAGCCTTCCCCTGAGCAAAAAGCTCTTAGCCCAGATTTAATTCAGATAAAAAGATAATTCTAGTCTGGCTGTTGGCATAATTGGTTACTATGCACCATAGATGCTCTCTGATAGTGCAGACCTGTTGATTAGTTAGCTGGGAGATGCTTATTTTGAGCCACTTAACTGAAATGGTCTGACAAGACACCTATACCTCACGACATGTCTGCACATAGATGTGGAGTTTTCCTGGATAACCGTATACATGAAGTCTTGTGACTTGACTGCACTTTGTGGCATTTTAACAGCTCACAGGAAGTACATAAGTGGTAGAAGAATGAAATGTGAATTCATATTGTAGTTGATTTTTTAAATGATTTGGTGATTACGAGTAGTAAATAAGGAATGAGTATTGTAAGAGCAATGATGTTACCCACATATGGAAGTGGGTATTGTGCCAGTACCTACACCTCTCCCTTCTGTTTAGGAACTACTGATTCTCGTTGCCAGTTTTGCAGCTCTGGTTTTACAGTTGGGTCTCTTCTGCAAGTATTCTTTGAATGCTTTTGCCACTTTCTCCTCTCACTTCTATTTTTATATATTCATATATGTGTGTGTATGTATGTATGTATACATGCAGAGAGATGTACAGAATTTTTGTGCATGTGTGTTCCTTAACAAAGTAATTACATAATCTATTAATGTAAACTATTCTTACATGACCTTTTATATGTAGCAAAGCTTTACCTAAGGAAACACGGCTGTGCTTGTGTTGAATGCGTTTGCCATCAAACTTCAGACCTAAATTCTATGTGGCATGCTGCTTGACTTTGGCAGAGTAGAGAGCTAGCCATAGCATATGATGACACCTGCCCACTAGGGAGAGCAGCAAAGGTACTGAATGAGGGACAAAGTAAATTAAGGAAGATACAGGGATTCTTGGGAGGAAATATATTTACTGTTGAAGTACTCAAATCTGGAGGAAAACCAGCTTCTCCAAAATCTTTCTTTTGCTACTATTTGTTACTTTGTTCCTTCAGATACTGCTTTTGATCCTTGTTCTAATCTTTGCTTTTCCATAATTGGCAGACCATTTAGTAAATACAGTCCACTGGTCTTTACCATTACTGGCTTTTCAGTCTTGCTTCACTTCCATCAGCAAGGGAAACTATTGAACTTGTAATACTCGGGCAGTAAATATTTCATTAACTTTAAGGTTTTTCTGTTACTGTCCTTCACTGTTTCCTCTTGCACAGTTCATACAAGGTAAGTGAGGAGGCTCAGCACAAGATCATTCTGTGTGATTACACAGTTCTTACCTGAGGTGTTTCTAAGAGGGTACTGAAGTAAATCGTGCATTCTGTCAGCTTTGAAACCCAGGTAACGTCCAGCAGTTTGTCTTCCAAGCCAGTATGACTGATACCAATAATCATCAGTTTAATAATAGGTGGGTTGAATTTTAAGCTTTTTTGTTCTTCAGTTTTAACGCACATTAGGCCCAAAGCACCCAACTGTCTAAGAAAGCAGTCAGTGTTCTAGGCATCAGCTATTGTTAAGGAGAGAGTGAAGGCTAGCAGTATCAAATGCCAGTTATATTGGTAATTGGAAGTATTTGCATTTGATAATGATCTGATTCTAAATCAGAGACACTGTACCAGAGAGTTATGTTAATGTAGTCTTTCAAAGGCACATTTCTGTATGCTTGCATTTTTCCAAAGCATTATGTGATCATGATGCATGCTTGTTTGTTGAATGAAGGAAAATTACTTCCATTGACTTCTGGGTAAAAGTTAGTAGGTATAAAACTCAATACAGCCCTTCATTTGGGGGAAGAAATAGAATGAGCATGAATAATTGTTCTTTTACTTACACAGAGATAAACTGTAAGTTTAGAGAGCCAAGTACTGCAATTTTTTACCAATTTGTGTATAGACTAGTATTTGAAGAATATAATCGTCTGTTGTCATAAGTCTTATAATGCATATATTGTCTAAATCTTCCAAAATCATAGAATCCTAGAATGGGTTGAGTCAGAAGGGACTTTCAAAGGTCATATAGTCCAACCCCCCTGCAATGAGCAAGGATATCTTCAACTAGATCAGGTTACCCAGAACCACATTCAGCCAAAATATGATTGAGAGGATTACAATTACTCCACTAATCTAAATACCAGGAAATTTTAACAAGAAATAAATTATTTCCCTGAAAGTGTTTCTTTCCTACTTTTTGTTTGCAAACTGAAAGTTTGGAAAACATTGCTTTTCAGTTCTTTGGAATATATTTAGTAATATGAAGCAAGTAAAATTATTTATTTGTACCAGTCTTCTAGTTCACACCCTGGTATAATTGGAGGCCAGGGGAGAATGGCATATGTAAAATACTTGATCTGTTATCTACCGTTTCAGTGACAAAATAGTGGCAAAATGCTGTAAAACTGAGCGGTTGAAAATCAGGGTTAGACTTGATCTTTCCAACCTAAATGGTTCTGTGAAAGTTCACTGCCAGCTGGTTACTGATGCATAGAAGGTGGTATGTTGCTTTATTGAAACCGAGTGCTCTAGCAACAGGCTTTTATTTGTGCTATCATTTAAAGTTAAAACCTAGCACAAATATGAATTTATGCCCTCTTCTCCTCCAAATGTTGTGTAAATAGTACATGCATGAGCAAACTGAATCCAACAATTTTCTGAAGAGAGCCCTCAAAGTAGTCAGATGAGAAGAACTAACAGGAAACAAAAGAATGAAAACTTGACTTGATTTACATTAATAAGAAGAAAAGAAGGGAAGAGACATGCAAGGAAACTACAGATAAATTTCCCTGATGAAAAACCTCTACCAGTTCTTTCCTTTTGTGTGTTGGACTTACTTAATTAGATGAGGTTTTTATCTTAACCGTCTAATGTCTCCACTCCATTTATTTAACTCTTTCCAGTTATGGATTGATCAACTAAGAATCAGCATTCTTGGTACAGTACCTTGCTCTAAGCAAAGTTCGGAATTTAGGAACAAAAGTACTACTGAAAATCCATTGGCTCTGTACTAGCAAAATTATAAATGCTTTTGAAGAGTCTTTGATTTACCAGTTGTCAGGTATGTTGCTTATCCTGGATGGCTGCAAATAATCACTTTTCAGTCAATGACAGTGAATTAACTAGACTTGAAAACAAATATATTCCTTCCTATTTTTTACTTCTTTTAAAGTTTGTTTACCTCTTTCTTTACATGCTTCTGCCTCTCTCTTGCTTATCTTACAATATTCAGGAATATACCAATAAATTTAATGGAATCAGAAAGGAATTGGCAAGAAAAGAGGTAAGACTGTAGTCTAAGGAGTGTTTATATTTGGATCCATAAATCTCTGAAGGAAAAAGTTAATATTTACCTAGATGTGTAAAGTTGCAGAAGTATTAACATCTACACTAGTCTTGAAGAAACTGACTTCTGTCTGCATTTCTAAACCCAATACTTGCTTTCAGTAGGAATCTTGATAGGAAACAATTCTGTGTCATCAGTAATTATTCTAGTTCAGAAAATTCTTTTTCAGTAATATTGTTTAATTTTCTTCTGTATATTGAACAGATGCTCAAGAAGGCTATTAATAATGTCAGAAGAATGGCTTCTCATCCAACATTACCATATTGTAAGTTCAGTTTTGCCAAGGAAAAGGTTAGCTAAAGATGATAAACTTACTGGCCCTGTTTCTTAGTATGCTATTTTGTACTAGCACAGTGATATATTGTATGTTTTAAAAGTTGATTATAAGTTCTACTTTACTGAAACAGCTTTTCCTTTCCCTAGAGAAAGTATGGGGAATATAGAATAGCATTTAGAAAAAGTGGTTTGTTTTTTTGTTTAATGAACAAAAGTACTTATTTCTGTTTTATTTATGACTTGAGTAAAAGTTAGCATGAAAATGAGTAAAAAAATAGTATGAAAAAGATACATTACTATGTCCCAAGTAATTAGCTTTTTATTTCAGTACCATTTAAATACTGTTCTTAAACAGTGAGTAAGTACAGTTCAATAATGTTTGAATACGTTAAACAACAACTTAAAACAGTTTTAAGTTTCAGTGGTACTCGTTATTACATTATGCCATATACTGTGGCACATAGTATGGAACTAGTTATTTTGAGGATGTTATGGGCTGGTGTGAGATTTCTTAACATTTTGGAAGCAGCCTTCCTGCTCAACTGCTACAACATCTGTAAAAAGTCATGTAAATATTTTCTGTTGCAGACCTGACAGGTGCTCAAGATGGAAGTGTAAGAATGTTTGAATGGGGTCATGCACAGCAAATCACATGTTTTCGGTCCAGTGGCAACTCAAGGGTAACTCGAATGAGATTCAATTACCAAGGAAATAAGGTAACTGATAGAAAACACTCTTTCCGCCCTCTTCTAATATAATTGTAAACTAGCAGAAACAATACATGCTTCAAATCTAAGGTGTTTCTCTGAATTGTGGGTAATTCCTCTATAATATATACCGATGTATTTACAATTAATACCTCTTTTTCAGTTTGGAATTGTTGATGCTGATGGATATATAAGTTTATATCAGACAAACTGGAAATGTTGTCCACTTACTGGAACTTCACCTAAACCATATTTGGTAAGCTGAAAACTAAATTTGCTTCCATAAACTTGTGTTGTGCTCTCTTACTTCCTTCCTTTGGAATAGTTAGAAGAGGGCAGGGACTGTGTTGATAGCCAGTATTAATCATGATTTAGTAATACAATGTTGACATCTTATGATCCGTATTACGGGTGGGTTCTTAAGTCCTAGTCATACTTACTAAGTTGGAAAGAAGAAAATGCAATGTTAGATCTCAAGTAACTTTGTTTTTTGAGACTTGTTAATAATTGTCAATTATCAAAAATGCAGGACTAGAAAGTATATTTATATGAAAAATTAAGAGTGTAAGAAGACATTCACACCCCTTTATAAGTCTGCATTCTTTAAATTGTTTTCTAAACGGCTTACATTCTTGAGGAAGCTCTAGATTTTATACTTCCATAAAATCAATTACTTTTGTAATTATTTTCTAAACTTCAATTCTTCAGACTTGGCAGTGTCATAATAAGACAGCCAATGACTTTGTTTTCATCAGTTCATCATCTTTGATAGCCACAGCGGGATCGTCTTCTGACAACAGGTAAGAACTGATGTGATAATGCATAAAAATTAAGTGGTACTATGTTTTCCCTCCTTCTGTCTTTTTTTCTTTTGATGACTCTCCTCAGGCAGTTTAAAAGAAATATGAATACTCCTGCTCTTTTTACTTCTTTCTTGCAGGGGGAGAGAAGCAGTGTTTGCAACTAAATTCCATGTGCCTATTAAAGGAGGTTCCATAGGGAAGCATAAATCCTCCATACATGCTCTATATGAGTAGGGAAAGTGGAGAAGGTGGTGCTGATCTCTTTCGCTGGTATCCAGTGACAGGACATATGGGACTGGTTCGAAGCTGTGCCAGGAAGGTTTAGACTAGACTTTAGGAAGAATTTCTTTACTGAGAGGGTGGTCAAGGACTATGTGCCAAGCCTGTCAGTGCCTAAGAAGCATTCGGACAATGTCCTTAATAAGAGGCTTTAACTTTTGGTATGCCCTGAAAGGGTTAGGCAGTTGGATAATTATAGGTCCCTTCCAACTGAACTATTCTGTTCTAGTCATACAAGCCTGTCTTAAATTACTTTTGTAGATGTAGAGAGTTGGCATGGTTTTACATTTCATGCTTACTTACTAAGTTTTGATCAAGAAATGGCAAAACCTGCTAACATTCAGGTGAATTCAGCTACAAAAAAATTCATGGAATGATTGTGTACAGTGCATGTTCTTTCAGTATTTGTCAACTACAAAAGTAATTTGGAGTCTGCTCAAAAGTTATTATTGCAAGTCTGCTTACAGTGCTTTTATGCCTGAAACAATCTTTAAGGTTCAGATGACTTTTAAAGTGTTACAATACTTCAGAGCATTTGTTCCTGAATTAAAATGTTTTGGGTTTTTTTCTTGTTGATTTTTTTTGTTTGGGTTTTGTTTTTGTTGGTTTGTTTTTTTGGTTTTTTTTTGCCCCCCTACAGAAATATTTGCCTTTGGGATACTTTGGTTTCGCCTACAAGTAGCTTGGTTCATGGTAAGTAAAATTAAATAAAACCATCAAAATATTTAATCACACTGGGATTGTGTCTGTATTTATGGAAAAGTTATTGTAGAAAATAATTTTAATATTGGCAGTGAAACATCTTTCACAGACTTGAGTGTACCAGCAGGAATATAAAAACAGATTCTTGAGAAATTTAGTACTTTACACAAATGGTTAGTTTCATGGATATGTGCACCTTCCTTTGCATAGCTTGTGCCTTTGCACCACAAGTGCAGCCCTTGACAGCCAGACATCTGTGACTTCTGTTCCTTTTTAAAAGATCGTGGGCAACTCCTGCTTGTAGTGACTAGCATGTTGAGAAGATAATAGCTGTAACATTGTGGAAGCTATAGTTTTTAGTATAGTTATGAGATATGTATTTTCAGGATATGCATTCACAGCCTTCAATTTAAGGTTCCTATGGCTGTGTCTGTACTCATAAGTCAGAGAGATCCCAAGTGTTTATTTATTATTCAAGTGTTAGACCAAATACTGGTACTATAAAAATAGCATTGTATCTAACTTGCAGTTACATTATATGTTTAGAAAATGTGCGAGGACTTGTTTTTTATGAACCTAAAATAGCTGTTTGAATTGCAAGATACTTGGGCAAGTGATTTAGGAGGACATCTTTTACAGGAAATGTATGCCTTAAATTATCAAGCATTAGAGAGTTTGAAAAGAATCTGTTTCTGGTCAAGGCTTAATAACTTGTGATTACACAGGGATAGAGAAAAGGATATAATTTTTTTTATACAGTTTGCAACTGCTTGAGAATACTGAAACTTCAAGATGTTTGACATGAACCTGGGCTTTAATATATATGGTACTGCAATAAATGGACTGGTTGTGGTCAGTTGGATTACTAAAGTAACTGTTGCTACTGTCTCGAAACATTACAGCTTGATAGAAAATTGAAGTTAGTACTGTGTGTTTTATTTAAGTTACTTTGTTTTGGTTTTCAGCTTTTATCTGTCATGATAGTGGAGCGACTGTGCTAGCATATGCTCCAAAACATCAGCTGTTAATCTCTGGAGGCAGAAAAGGCTTTACATGTATAATTGATCTTCGACAAAAACAGCAGCAACAGTTACTCCAGAGTCATGATTCTCCAGTCAAAGCGATTGCTGTTGATCCCACAGAAGAGTATTTTGTCACAGGATCTGCTGAAGGCAACATAAAGGTATTAATGAAGGGAAGGGAACAGAGGGTGATGGAGTGTAAATTCAAAAAGAATCTTGCATAGGTGTGTAATAATCAGATATGTCATGTTTTCTCAACCCTGACTTTTCACTATTACTAATGTAATTATGAAATTTTTGTCTCACATTCCTCCTTGTTAGTCTTACTTTAGGTTCTCATATATACTCATTAAAAAAAAAAAGAGTATTAATTTTCTATAACTGTGTCATTACAGGTTGCTACCTATCTTTTCATGTACAGTTAATGTCAGAAAAATTAATGCAAGATGTAGACCAATTTCTCTGTGACTCATTATTGGTGAATTTTAAGATCACAGTAATTATCCTTATAAGAATTTGATGTTTTGATGCTTTTTCAGGTTTGGAGTCTGTCTACATTTAATCTTCTTCACGCTTTCGTCAATGAGCATGCTCGACAGTCTCTCTTCAGAAACATTGGGACGGGAGTCATGCAAATTGAGACAGGACCAGCAAATCACATATTCTCCTGTGGTGCTGATGGAACAGTAAAGATGAGGATCTTGCCTGATAGATTAAGCCCTTTCAATGATGTGTTAAAAAATGATGTGAAATTTATGATGTAGTATTTTTTTCAGAACAGTGTGTAACATTCCCCTTCTACCATCCCTGAAAATAGTTTTCATGGAACTAGCCAACAAAGCAGATACACAATGATAGGTCGTGCCACAAAGATGCACTTTTTGTTTTTTTTTTTTTCCCCCCATATTTATTACCTGAAACTTTAAGCCCCTGATGCACTGATGCCTTAAGGATTAACAATTTTCTTCTGATTTTGATTGTTGCCTAAACCAAAAGCTGTATATGGCTCCAAATTATGTAGTTATAATACTATTAAGATGTTGCTGAAGTGGTTTACTCTTCCTTTTGAGGTAGTTACACTCCCACCTTGGGCATGGCCTCTGTCCAGAGGGAAACCAGATAATGTTACTCTTTCACTGTGGCAACTGTTACAACTGTCTCTCTTCTCAACTCTAGTCAGCTGACATTTAAATATTTTACCTATGTATAGAAGAGAAAGCCTGTATGAATAGATAGTCCTGGCCATGCAAGCATTCATATAATAAGCCACTATCTGTCTCCATTCCTGGAATCCAGGCTGTTTACCTCTCTAACTTGCCTGATCTCCTTCCTCTGATCTAGGGTATAAGAAACTGAAGGATGTTCTGTGACTTGTCTTCTGTGCTATAGCTTGAATCACTGCCATCAGGATGGCAGGCTTACCTTTTAAAAAGAAATATATTTTTTACCCTGAACACTCCCTTTACAAATATCTGTAAATATTAACATGTATCTTCCCAGTAAAATAGTCAAGATTGTGTGAAGATTTAGTCTTGATCAAAAAGATGCAGGAAGATACTGCTTTAGGTTATGGCACTAGAATTTCTTCAAAGACTATTTATTTACATGTCTGTAGAGGGGAATAAAATAATAATTTATTTTTACTTTTTTTCCAGTAAGACTTTTATTTAGCCCAAAGATACTCAGTTCAGACTTAGCACTTATGTTCTTGTTTGTCTGCTTTTCCTAAGTACTTTACAAAAAAAAGAAAAAGTAAAAAACTTCAACAGCAAAGTACTTTAATACTGTCTTTGTACTGTATGTTTACATCTGGTGTAAAATGAAAGATAAAATATTTTGGAAAGGATAGATGGGTTGTTTTGGTTTGTTTGTTTTTGGTTTTGTTTGGGTTTTTTTTGCCAAAATATTAAACTGCATAACTTAAATGTTTGACCAAATTATTAATGCACAAAGCCTTTTATTTTTGTTTTGTTAGCTTAAAACTGTTTCTGTAAGTATTTTGGTTTACTTTTCCAGACTTGAGAGCCTGACAAAGGTTTAATTTGTAAATTAGATGTGAGGCTGGATTACTTGAATGCCGATGGTGTACTTTTTGCTAAAAGATATTTTGTGAAATATAGCACCAAGATACTAACTGTAAAATAAACTTGTCAAATTAGAAACTATGGGGATAAATAAAGCATAGCAGAAATGAAGGGCTTGCAAAATGAACTTTGTAACATTCTCAGGATGCTTTTCTCTTAAGAATATAAAATAGTTTAAAAAGATTTTGTAAAACGCATTAAGGTCATTTTAAATGTATGTTTCGCAGGTTGCAGTGCAAACACTATGAAGGTTTTTATGCACATAACCTAAATTTTCAAATTGTGCAATAAGAAGAATGTGAATATTTTGCCATGAAGAAACATGTGACAGCATTTCAAACTGGCACAGCTGTTCAGTGTAATTGTAATTGTTCTACCACACTTACACATTGAAATAAATATTGATATCAAAGCAGTTTAAGTACAGTGGTGGACCAGAAAAGTGACTGACTAAAAGTGATACCACCTTACCAGACTTGCCTAATGTGTATGTCATATCTGCTCAGTGGCTGAGTTTCTAATATTCCTTATTCTTATCAAAGATAGAAAACAATGGAGTTAACAAAAGCACACTCCTTGAGAATCAACAGAAACCCTGACTATTGCTGCTTATTTACATGCATTAGTTTTATGCACCCACTGAACTAATAAAGTTAGTTTCAAAAAAGAAAAATGTGCAAAAATCATGGCAATATTATATAATTATGATGTCCTTGATATTTTGTCCTTAAATATTTATATCTCATTAGCTTTAGTATTTCAAGCTCAGTTTATTGTACTGGCAATCACAAAAAGCTGTCCTGTCATCTGCAAACTGAGCAGATTTTACGTGTAATTTGCCAAGACATACAATGTTGTCATTTTTTTCTGAGTAGAGCTGCACTGTGAATAATCCTGGCAAATTTAGGCTTATACCAGAAAACTACTGACTGTGAGCAAGCATTTTTCAATAATGTTTATAGTTGCCATAAGCTACTCTCAAAATGAAATTATGTAAAATCAAGATGTATTTGCCACACCTTCGTAATCTACCCAATAAATCCTGCAGAAACTCGACCTTCTAGAGTTCCATGTTGCTGCTACTTCATTTAAAAATGAGTTGTTTGCTTGTATAATGTTTATTGGTGTTTAACAATTATTGTAAGTCAAATTACTGGTAACTTTATTGTAATGATGGAATCAATTAGTTAACTTCTGTTGTATATGAAAATTTTAAAGGGACACTCTCAACTTTAAAGTAATTGGGGAGAAACTAAACTCAGCAGTCTTTCAGCTGCAGCCCTTAAACTTTTCCAGTGACTTCTGTCCTCTGGCAGTTAATGCATTCTCCCTGTTGCTATGTGAGTTACTCAAACAGAAGGGTAACAGTGGCTACGCAGAGGGATTGTGTGCTTGAAGTAGCCATGTGCACAAATTGAGCTTAAAATTTTTGTTTGCCAGTGCTTAGTCAACAATAATTCCATGTCTAGGCAAAAGAGCTTGTAGTTGATAATGTCCCTTTCAAAACGTCATAGATTAGCAGCTGTGATGTGTTTGTCTATGTAGCAATACATAATACAATCAGAGCGTGTCATTCTTATGTTGCCAATTCAGTTGCCTCAAACAGGTATACTATCCCAGTTCTTTACCATTACTTCATAACCTGTGAGAGTTAAAACTGGCCATCTGGGTACTTAAACTGGCTTGCTGTGTGACTTTCAACCAGAAAATTCTCAGCTGACAGCTGATGTTGCGGGATGTTTATGGACAAAGATGGATAGTGGAATAGATGCAGATTTTGTACCATGCTGCTGTGGCACAAGGTGAGCTTATACATGTTCTACTGCATTTAGAAACCTCGCTACCAGTTACAGGAAATAAACTGTTGGGATATGCTACATTAGATACCACTCTCCCTCTTAAGAGTACTGAGTGTTAGGTTAGTTGCAATAGGTATAAAAAAGGTGATTAAAAGGAAATAAGCTCAGAGATGATGTGTTCTCCAAGGTGATTTTTTCAAATGTTTATTTTTACTAAAAATAGCAAAACCACCTCTAATAGCAGGTTCAGCACACTGATCAAACTACTTTCTATAAAATAAAAAGATTGATTTACTAAGTTTCTTGGTGTTTCTTATTCCTCCCATTTCTAGCTATAAAATCTGCATGGGTTTGGCCTTTCTCCTTCTGTCTTTTCTTATTTTTAAATAAATTAACAATTTTTTATTTTGTTTTGGTTTTGGTTGGGTTTTTTTCAGGTTTTTTTTTGGGGGGGGGTTGGGTTGTAGTGTGCAGTTGGGAGTTTGGGGGTTTTTTATTGTTCTGTTTGTTCTATGCATAACTATCAGTTGTAATCAGTTCTAAGTCATTTCTCATGGGAATAAGGCTGCTGTTCCTGTTACTTTCTTCCACAACTAACTTTTAATCTCTTTTCTCCTTCCTGTAAACTTGAAAGTCTGTGATAGCTGTTGGGAGCCTCACCTCTTCATTGTCCCACCTCTAGAAGAGGCACAAAGATGAGTGCCCCTACTCTACACACTAGGCAGCAAAACTGTGCTGCCAAAATTAACACCACAATGTGTGACCGGCAGGTCAAAGGAGGTGATCCTGCCCCTCTGCTCTGCTCTCTTGAGACCTCACTTGGAGTATTGTGTGCAATTCTGGTGTCCTCAACATAAAAAGGACATGGAACTGTTGGAACAAGTCCAGAGGAGGGCCACGAGGATGATCAGGGGACTGGAGCACCTCCCATATGAAGACAGGCTGAGAAAGTTGGGCCAGGTTGATAGAGCCTTGGCTGACATGGTCTGGTGTGAGGGATCCCTGCCCATGGTAAGGGGGGTTGGGGCTATTTGCTCTCAGGGTCCTTTCCAACCCTAACCACACCATGATTCTATCACGTTCAGTTCACTGGGACGAAATAACAGTTTCATTCGGGGCTTGCTCCTGCAACAGTTGGAACTCCTCAAGTTCCAACGCGGGGAAAGAAGCGAAGAAAAGATGTCTCAGCGGCCCAGCACCGCGACCGCCCTTCCCTTCGCAGTTGTGTTCACCCTCTCTCCTCCCCCTGATGCTCTCCCCCGTGTGCACCCCGCGGGCAGGCGGGCGGGGTACAGCCTGCTCGCCCGGGCCGGGCCGGGCCGCGCCCTGCCCCGCCCCCTGTCGCGGAGAGCCGGGCCTGCCTTAGCCGCGCCAGCACCGCCTCAGCATCGCCGCGCCCGCAGCTCCCGCCGCCGCCCCGCGCCCACACAGTAAGTGCCGCCGGTAACTCCGCGCCGGGCAGCCCTGGTCCCGAACGGGACACCGCGCCGCGGCCTGGCGGTGTTCCCGCAGCCTCACAGCCGAGGGGACAGCCCTCGTGGGGGCTCGGCGCTGCAAGTGGGAAGCCGAGCTGGGCTGCTCCCGAGTTACTCAGGGCTCGACACGGGGGCCTAAGTGCGGTGGCTGGGGCGGAGGGAGCTCAAGGAGTCCCTGCCGGGCTGGGTCTGGATCCGGAGCCGGAGCCAGGGCGCTGCAGCCTCCTGCCCCAGTGGGTCTAGTCGTTGCGGAGTCCCGGCCCGCTTCGGAGTCCCGGCCCGCTTCGGAGCGGCTCTCCCTGTGGGGTCTGCCCGAAAGCGCCCGCCTTGAGAGCTCCGACACGCAGGACAGTGGGATGAGAGCTGCGCTGGGGGTTCTGTCGGGCAGCCGCTCCGCCTGTCTTCCCTCGGCCGCTTCCCCCACGTCGGCGGGGCAGATTTCTGCTTTTGTCAGAAACGCTGGTGCTTCTGGCCCGGGCGAACCGCAGTCGGGGTGTGCCTGAGCCCGCACAGAGCACATCTGTAGCTCTTGAGGCAGAGGCGACAAGTGTGGTGACGCAGCCGAGTGCTGCGCGGCACTGGTAAAGGACAAACTGAGAGTTTTAACTACTTCTAGCAAAAGTTCTAGCACGAAATTAGCTTGTTTCTGGCTTACAAACTGCTAACTGAGCAAGAGAGATCACGGTTCAGGGTGGGCTCCTCTGCTTCACGAGGCAAGATGGTCAGGCTTTCCACAGTGGAGGTCTGCGCGTCTCTGGCGGTGCACGTTCACAACCGGCCTGAGCACACATCCGCATCCGTAAAGCAAAACGCAGCCCAGGTGGTGTTCCGCTCTGCACGTGTCTGGTTTCGCTTGTGCTCCTTTGCAGAACACTTGGTGTAACTGCCTTGTGAAACTGCCCACGTTACCAACCGCCCGGGCAGAACTCTCCCAGCCGCCGGATGCGGCGGATGAGCAGCTGTGGGTTGCAGTCGCTGGCTCTTGCCAGTGCTGTTTATCTCCTGTCAGCTCTAAATAGGATATTTGCTTTGAAAGAGCACTGGTAGCCGAGCCCTTGCGACGGCAGATTAGCCCGTCAGTTGCCACAAACCCCAGGTCTGGTCTGAAAAGCGCCTTTGGGCTGAACGTCGTCACTTGCGAGGTCCAGCAAACTGTTGTCTTCTGGCAGACCCAAGGCGGGTGTTGCCGGGGCAGCACAGGTCAGGCTGCACCAGATGCATAAAGGCACCCTCCCTGACAGAGTCCTGGTCTGCACGCTGGTCCTGTTCCCGTGGTGGGGGAGCACATTACATTACATGAATGCTGTTTAAAAACGTAGGAAAAGCCTTTGTCACTGTGTACTGCTTATAACTCTTTCAGTTAGTAGTTTTCGGAGGGATTCTTTTTTCCTTTGTGGTGGAAGTTTCTAGTTATTATTTCGACCTTGTAGTGAGCATTTCAGTAAACTTTTGAGGCTCAGTGAAAATTATTATAACTTTCAAGTGAACTTTTAAAATTGTAACTTTAGTAAAC